TTTTGTAGACTGCAGAGTCTGTTGGGCTCGGGGTGGGGGCTGCGGCTTCCCTCCCTGAGGACCTTGTACAGGCTACTGTTTGTCTCCATTGTCACCTATGCCGCTGGTGTGTGGGGCGGCGTGCTGGGCCCCTCTCACAAGAGGAAACTCTTAAAAGCACAACGAGTAGTATTACTCATGGTTACACGGGCTTACCGAACCACCTCGGCAATGGCATTGCAAGTTCTTGCAGGTGAACTACCCTTAGATTTAGAAGTTTGTTTAGCATATTTTAAATCGTTAATGCGTGCAGATATTCCTTTTACTATTGGGAGTTTGAATTATCCCACAGATTGTTTTGGTTTAAGGGAAACGGTAGTTCGGAGATTGATTAGGAAACAGTTGAACATAGAATGGGATAACAGGTGGATAGCTTCCGATAAGGGAAGAGTGACTGCTATATATTTTCCAACTGTCTCGGAACGACTCAGGGCACATTGGGTACAACCCGACTTCTTTGTAAGTCAAGTAATTACTGGTCATGGCGATTTTAGGGCCAAATTATATACTTTTGGGTTGGTTAGTGATAATCTTTGTGAATGTGGATTAGAGGATACGTTAGAGCATTTTGTGTTCACATGTCCATTTTTGCAGCATATACGTCAGAAATGTATTTATTTACAAGGGAATTCTAATTTTGCAAACTCATTGCATCGGTTCGTAACTGATTCTTTAAGATATATTCGGGTTTTTAAAATTTTACACGAAATGTTTTTAAAGAGGATGAATTTTAGAAGTGTATATAGGGTTTAGATTCTTTATATTTCTTTATTGTCCGGTTATTTTATTATTAACTTTACAGGTTTTGATATATAGTTTTTACAAGTTTTTATCATGTTTTTTCTTGGGTATATGTTCTGCTGAGAAGTCTTTGACATGTGCAGCAGATAAAGTATAGGACTTTCAGGGACACTTGTATATTCAAACGTTTATAATGATAGTGGATCATAATATCGGTAACAGAAATACTAGCCCTTATCCAAACAATCTTATCTTACTATATATTTGTAATTATATAGGATATAGTAAACATTAAATTGTACATTAATAATAAATTGAAAAGGAAAGTGTCATATGTGAATAAATACTATATATATATCTTTAATTTTAAGAGGGGAGGAAAAATTTATATCTTGATATTAATTTTTATTTAAGAAAGTTTACAATTGAAATTGTTTTTTTAAAACTGTTGTTTGGCATTTGAATTTTTAAAGTAAAATTATAGTAAAGAGATAAGTTTAATTTTTGTAATATTTAGGCCTTATTGTATAAATATTGGATTATTAAAATGGATTCAAACTGACCTTCTATGGGACTTGACGAAGAAGTAGACAATGTAGGTGACAAATTTTTGTCAGAACATTCACACCCTTCTATGTTGTCGGACAAAGAAATATTCATTTTTCCTAACTTTTTCTGCAATTTCAAATTCGACTTTTCCGATATATTCTCCTTCTCATGCTTTTCTTCGCCACCTTCTAACGACATTTTGTTTTCTAAATCTTTTTCTTTTAAACCATTTGAAATAATCTGTAAAAGATTAATATTAAACTATCATATTTCAATGACAAATAGTATATTTAAATTTTTAAGAAAATCAATATTGCAAATATTTGAAATCAAGCAAATATCTAAAAAACTATAAAACAGTTAAAATTAATTATTTTTATCAAATTAAAATAAGAATACTTTAAAATTTTCTTATTTTGGAATTTATTATCAGATATACATTAGCATACATGTTCATTTTAATAAATTAACTCATTTCTTTCCATTAAAAAAGGACTTACATTTTGGAATAATGTGTAAAGTATCTATTATTTATGATCAATATCAGAAAAAGTTCAAATATAGTTTAAGGTGATAAAAATCCAAGATAAAAAGTACATTTAAATACACTTATCATCCTGGCTTTTTATTAAAAGCCTTTTTTACAATTTTACTACTAGTGGAAAGGATTTTTTAAACAAATTTTGTACATTCAGGTATATGAGAGCGTTAAGATAAAGATCACCTCTACCATGAGATTTTGTTGTGTTCCTGAGGTGTGATAAGAAATGTGAATAAATGTTTTTAATCTTTCTTCTATTTTTGAAAATTTTAAGAAGTATTTATTAAAATTTTTACTGTTATACAAATTTTTAAATTATAATCGATTCCAGAAGGATATTTCAGCAACACTTCATGTTTAAGTAGGGAAGAGCCTACAAAAGGTCAACTCAACTGTATAATCTGTGTTTCTCTGGTTTTTATTTTCTTCTAAATAAAATTAGTTCTTTAATAGTAAAAATCAGAATAAAAATTTACTACAAATGTATGATATACTATATATTCTTAAATACTTATACTTAACAGTTAAGTTGTAATTAGCATTTTCAATAAACTAGAACTTAAATTACTAAAACTTATTTTGTTTCACTGGTGGTTGAATTGTCCATTAAATGCAAAAATTTTTATTTTAAAATGATAAAAAAATATTATATAATCTCTAATTATAATTATATGTCTGCTAGACAAGGCTTGAAAATCAATAATTAACCATAAATTATAAAATTATATATATATAAGAAATAAACCAAATTTTTTATAACTTACAGTACTTATAAAAAATGCACATATCATATAATGCAAGGTTTTACTAAATATTTGTTATATCTACTCCAGCATTTTGTCTATGTTAATTAAAAGAAGTTTTTTCCTCCTTACTTAGAAATGAATGACTATCGTAAGTTCAGAGTCTCTGTAACAGATGATAAATTTTGGCAAAATAACGATTTTTACTTTCTTAATAATAATATTTATTATTATTACTCATGGAAAGCAAAAGCTTTGTCTTCAAAACTGAAATCTAAACAAAAAACTAATTTTTTACCCTTTGTTTTAACATCTACATTAGTAGACTATTCTGTTTAAGTGCTAAGAAAAAAATTATACACACACAAACACCACATCACAAGTGTTTTCTCTCAAATTTTTATACTTCAACAAATATTCCAAAATGCTTATAAACAAAATTTAAATTTATAAGAATTACCAGTGATATATAAACAACCGCCTACCTCTTTTCCTTTAGTTTCCATATCATCGTCTAATTGATCGTCAACATCCTGTAGTAAATTAATTTGATTGGTATGACTTCCCGTTACTTGAAGTTCTGGTTCTCCTTCGCCAACAAATTCAAATTCTTCACTTGTTGCTAGAGACTCTGAACTTAGGCTGCAGTCATCGTCCATCATAATGAAATATCTGCTTCATTGACAGATTATTTGACACACTGGTATGGAGGAAAAAGATAAGATTAACTTTTATAAAATTATTAATTGAAGAATTAATACAAGTATACAAAAAATTTTGTTTAAAAATATGTTAAAACAGAAGCATATTGTACTCAAGACCCTCTATCCTTTGGTAGGTCTGTGAGCTTCATTTTCTCTTATATTCCATGTGAATATAGATGATTAACATAAATAGTACTGCTCTGCAGAACACAATCCTATATCATTAAAACCTTACATAAACATCCCTTTACTGATACAGATGTTTCCAGTGTTCTAATGGGACACAAGGGACACCTTGACAATTCTCTCAAAAGAATGGGAAATTTATGGCTACAGACAAAGACAAATCGGGTACTAAACTTGTTAACTCAAAACTAACATGAAGTTGGGAGTTTTTTTTTTAATTCCTTAACTTCAACCTAACTAGGTTTTACTGTATATCCAATTTTTATATTTTAATAGCTAAAGTTAGAGAATTTTATCTATCTCGAACAGTCACAAGCAAACCATGATCCACAAAGTCCTAATATGCAGCCCTTGGGTTTTGGCAACACAATTCTACTTCCCTGTTTTCTGCCTCATGCTATTATTTAATCCCAATTAAGTTGATACTTGCAACAAAGAACATTCAAACTAAATTTGGCCAGTGAAAAGATAAGAATAAACTATATATATTGCTAATTTATTAAAAATCTATTAATGTGAGGTAGATAATAAGGACTTATCACACCAGTGATAATAACTAAGTGATTATACCAAGGGCTAAATGCAATTTCATATATATTGCTAGCTTGCATATCATTATTTTGGTACCTAGTGTAGAGATGGATACAGAGTATACTCGGCAAGTTTAGTGTAAGAAAATGTGTGCGCTGTCTGCCGAAAGCCTACAAAGTTCACTTGTGGTCCGTATCCAAAAAAGGTTGTTCATCACTGTTCAACTAGTGTCCATCTGTTATATAAAAACAGGAGGTATACCTTAATAGAAATTGATTTTTCTTTGATAGCTGTTCACAACTGCTCTACAATCTATTTCCTTTTCAAATGAGTATTCTAAGACTGAATTAAACATATTGGCATAACACTAGTCACGCACTGCTGATTAACAACCATAAGGCTATAAACAGCTTACAAAAGATAATATGCAACTAGGTAAAAAAACTGTACAACTAAATATAATTCGCTACTGCATAGCTCACTTTCAAAAGTGAATAGAATGAAACATTCATGTAACTAATACTCATATTTCACTAATGAAATAACCTTAATTGTAGAACAAAACATCAAGTCTAAAATTAACAATATTGCTATGTAATAAATTTTATTTATATAACTATAAATAATGTTATGTTTAGTCCTTAATTTATTCTATTTTGTATAATAAAATATATTGGAATTTAAATAAACTAGTATGTGCAAATCAAAACAGTTTATAGTCCACTTTAGAAAAATATCAAAATAAAAGCATCTACTTAAATTCCTTTTAAATGAAAACAAATTTGTGTTAGCAAAGCATACTTTCCAACTGATAATATAGTGACAGAAGTACATATACTGCTCAGTATGAAGTTAAATTAGAAAGAATTCTTATATAATTAAAATCAAACACACACTATTTTGATATTTTGCTGGCTGGATAGCCAAGACAGTAATGGCATCAGTCTACTGCTCGAGGACCTGGGATCGAATCTGAATAGAGAACTCTCAAAAATTTTTTTTTATGAACAGTGTCCCAGATATATTGAGCCTCATCCCTCACCACCTAGCAATGTTACCAGACTTTGAAATGCTGAATTCTTCATTAGTAGCTTCGAAATTCTTCATTTTATTTCAGTTTTCTTCATTTTTACATAGTTTAGAGAAAGAAATTATTTTAAAAAATCTGTTTTCTGTATTTTTTTTTTTTTTCATACACAAACTCTTGAAGGTGTTAATGTTTAAACTTTTTTTCCTTAAAAATGCACAAAAATATACAACTTATTTAAACATGTTCTAGAAATAAACAATTGATTTTTAACAAATAATGAACTTATTTATACTATGCATATTATACTGCAATTGTGTAAGAAACAAGCTGATGGCAAGCTGAAAAATCAGTTATTGTGATGACGTCACAATAACAATGATTTTTCATGCTTGTTGCTATGACATTAAAAATTGCAGCCTAACACTGTGGCAATCATTTTAATTTAAAAATCACGTGACTTCCAGTCTGGATTGAAAGTTGGTATATAGTTAATCGAGATCTCTAAGCTTTCCATATATGATCTCTATTTTCATTTATCTAACCCTGTGAGAGATTAAGGATGAACAGACGAATAACAGTGGGAATCTATAAGTCTGAAATTTGATTAATATAATGGCATGTGCTAATCATGAATTACTGTAAATAATGCTACATTTTTAAGATTCATGCGAAATGTTTGGTCATAAAAACTCACAATGACTTTGGTGCATAATCTAACATATGTTTGAAATTTAAAACTTCTGCAACGGATCTGAATATGAGGAGGAAAAAAGGTCCTGAAAAACATAACCAACTTTTTCAATTTTAATTACAATAAAAGTAGAGAAAATTAGAAAGTATTTAGTATACATGGACTGCATCATTCATTTATATAAATCGGAAAAATTTATACATAATGCACATATCAAAGCCCGATGAGTTAATATAATAATCCAACAATCACCTAAACATTCGGGCTATAATATGGCTATAATCAAACATAGCCATATTATAGCCCAAATATGCCAATGAGATTAAGCAGAACCTCGTTAACATGGACATCACAAGTGTGAGCTGGATGCTGTTCAGAGTAAAGGCCAAGAAATTTTAACTGTAAATAAATAATTTTAACTAACACCTCCTTACAAGAAATAGTACATTATAACCTATTAACCTATTAAAACAATTTGTACTATGAGAAATTCATGTTCATGTTTTATTATTTAGCCAACATATAAGGGGCTTATGCCCGAAATGCCTAGGTCTGTCTATTCACCTAGTTGTGACAGTAAAAACAGATAAAAAGACAACATGGTTTCAGAATATGCAATTATAATCAAATAATTAATACAAATAAATTTGGTACTAGAGGTAAGCATTAGGAGCCATCTTTTATCTAAATTAATAATTATAATTTTAATAATTTAATAAATAATTTAGAACCTTCTTGAAAAAGGACCCATGATGGGGTGCAATTGGTAGCACACTGCATGGCAAGTGGAGGCTGCAGGTTCAAACCCCGCCCCGGGTCAGTTATTTTCTTCCAGAAGGTTCTAAATTATTTATTAAATTATTAAAATTATAATTATTAATTTAGATAAAAGATGGCACCTAATGCTTACCTCTAGTACCAAATTTATTTGTATTAATTATTTGATTATAGCCCAAATATTTAGGCAATCATTGATTATTACAGAAAAAATTTCTTGGGACTTAGAACTCTTAGCACAGATAACAATGTAACATGAGCTGTACATAGAAATACTATTTTCATACAGACCCAGTAGTGTTTGAAAAAATAAATAAATATACAGTTGCTCATTGAAGAGAGAAAGAATATAAAATATAAGGTATATCTATATTGCTTCCAGCTCCTGAACAGATTTGCATTTTATTAGCAAATACCCAAATTTTATTTTTAAAAGCAAAACAATCATTTACAAAACCCGACATTTGATAATTCTTCATGTTTAGTGATAAAGATCTATAAATTTTTCAATCCTTCATTGAGTTACTCTTTTGGTATCTAAATTCTTCAAATCTGTCTACACTGTCACACCAGTGTAGTTGCCAAACCCACAATGGGCCTAGGAAAAAGGCCCTCTTAATGTTCAGAGGGTGGTCAAACAAACAAAAATTCTTATATTTAGTTAATTATGAAAGGAGTGTGTGTGTGTGTGTGTGTGTGTGTGTGTGTGTGTGTGTGAAATTGTTTAAATTTGAAATGCCAATCAGGAAACAATACACAGAAAAAAGTTTAACAAAATCAGTACAATATCAACATTCTACGACTTACTTTTCATTTAAGCAAGTATCAAAAATTCATTGAAAATCGCAAGTTTAATAAGTTATTAACAAGCAAAACTTAACATTCTAACAATGTTCAATTTTGCTAAGAAAGTCTAATTAAGGATGAAGTACTTGCTTACAGATTATTATTAACTAGAAAATTTTTGCTTAAGATTAATTATACAATAGTAATAATAATATCTGTTTTAAACTAATTACTAAATAATTATTAATTATAATTATTAAATCTAATAAGAGATGGTGCCTAACACCTCTCTCTAATATCTGTTTTGTATCTTGATTCAAATTAAAGTCATAACATTATAATAAGATTAGTAAATATCAATTTATATTTTTACAGCGTTCTAGCAACTGATTATAAAAAGAAATTAATTTCTACTATTAATAACAACATTTGCCAACATAAAATTGTTATTGTAAGCTATACAAAAGTACTGGAAATTCAATATAAGTAATAAAATCATTTTATTGCAATGTTTTATGGTGGAAAATTTAGTTTCAATACCAAATAGAGCAATTTGACATATCATGTTACATAAGACTTGCTCTCTTAACCTTCCACTAAAAACACTTCCTTATTTAAACAATAAATACTAATTTGTTTTTGTTTGGTCTCTCTCACAATCTGGTATCAGTTTACAAACTTAATATCTGTTTCTACTTCCTGTCATTTTTATTGTAAACTGTTTTTCTAGTTTAATTATTTGTGCACATTTTGAAAGATAAAACTCCTTCTTCCAAGTTTAAAAATCTTTAGTACTGACACTTGGAGCTTTTGAGTAAGTAATCAAAAGCATGAGAACACCAATAAATACGGGGTCTTCACAAAATAACTGCAGCATTTCATACACAATTTAATAAATGATAAAGAAGAAATTTCACTTAAGATGAAATGAAAGAGCATATTTTCAAGTTTTTTTTGGTATTTAGTACATTCGGATTTCCTTCTTGACCCCACAAACATCCAAGTAATACTCTGTGTTCAAGCCAGCATGTTTTTTGGACATGATAATTGCAAGACCACCAGGTACTTACTCTGTCTCTTTAAAACATTATATCCATTGATAAACTGTCTTATTTGAAGGTGCTCTACTGCCATATTCATAGTAAAAACTTCATTGAATAGTAACAACACATTTAGTTTTGATGAAAATCACACACTGAATATTCTGGTAGATGATTGTGATGATAATGACAGCACAGTGCAGGCACAGTGTTTATTTTTAATCAATGCTACATACACCAAAAAACTGTTTTGAGATTCTGAGGACAGTGGAACAAACATATTTCTATCTCAATTATAAATAACATAAAATTTTTGAAATACTGGAATTTTGTGAAGATCCTGTATATGGAAGATTCTTTTTATATTAGTGTACTTAAAATAAACATCAATTGTTTTTAGCAATGAAGTATAAATGTAGGTGCACAGTTTTTATTATGGAAAAATTTGTAGAGAAAAAATATAGAAGCTAAAGCATTAACTCTTACGTATAAATAACATATAAGGAATAAAAAATAATAATAATGAACTCTGCGCCAAACATCTGTATTTCTTAGTTTCACAACTATACACCTATCTTTTCATCACTGTGTATATATGTTATTTAACTCCAAATTGCAATGAACCTAATGAACACCAATGCTCAAACCAGATCAGATTCCAAGTTTTCAACTAAATTTCACTTAACAAAATCAGGCAAATTTTTCAATCAAACTGTAACTCAAAATTACTCATGAACAGTCTAAATTTATTGATTCAAAATAACAAACTCTACAATTTTTCCAAAATATATAATGGATATATTATAATATAATTAATTAAATTTTAAATCTTTCTTATAGAAAATATGAAAGTTACAATCAAGAATCAATCATTTATTACTTTTAATAAATTATTGTCGTTAGACTCATTCACTAGTAACACACACAAAAAAAATCAGCTTGATAAGAAAATATAAACTGGCATGCTTCCAAGGTGACACTACCAAAGTGATAACTATATTCATATTGACAATTGATATGAGCCATTTTCTGAAAAAGAAAGAAAACAATTCCAAAAATGAAATTCTAACTTACAAATTTCATAATCTTCTTGTATGTTAAACTAATTCTTTCCAGATTAGTTTTGTTTTTAAACTAAAAAACTCATTATTAAATTATAAACTCAAACTATAAACACAACTTCTCTCTATAGTTTGAAATGCTTTAATGTAGAAGACAACTTTTGGATGACAACTAACTGTTTTCAACTGTTAAAGCAATACTTCAGAGAAAAATGTCAACCAAACTCATTTTCTCTTGAGCAAATTCTGCTGATTAAACAAAATGTTATGAAAGGTTCTATAGTTTCAAGAGATGAATAGATTTGTAAGTAATCAATAATGCGCATTTTCTTTTTTAAATGCCATTTTATAAAATTTGACTGTCTTAATTTCGTTTGATATTTAAACCTTACTAGCAACTGAAGATATTTTCTACAGCACACACTCTTATCAAATTTTTTTTTTAGTTAAGATGACAGTGTGGAAAAATAAATATCCTTTCCTATATTTATACATGAACAAATACACATTTTTGAAAAAGTGACAATACGTATTGCATAACAAACAGCCTTTAAATTAATAAATTGCTATATTAAACTCTTAAAAACCATTCTTTGCCCATGTTTAAAATTACAAAAAAAAAAACTTAAATTTTGAAGGCAGAGATAATATGATTTATTTTTATTCTATGATTTTAATAATTTATTAAATTATTAAAATCATAGAATAAAATTAAATAATATTTTTTAAATGATAACTTTTAAGAGTGAGTAATAAGTAGAATTAAATTGTCATAAAAAACAACTTAAAATAATTTGTTCGGACACAATTCGTCACTGTAATTTCCTGGAGGACTTAGTAATAGCTGACATTGTTGACTTTTTCCCCGCAGTTTAAGCTAAATTAATTAATAAACTTCAAAGTCTGATTGAAGTTTTCATTTAAGGCAAACAAATTAAACTAAACAAACAGAAAATTAGCATCATCTCTGCTGTTAATTAATTAAAAATTGTTAATGTAATTTATAAGGATAAAATAAAATAAAACTATCTGAACTACAACATATATCATAAATTTCATAAAATTATTTTACATTACATATTTATATAAATAAAAACTTGTAAATAACCTTTACCTATTTAAATTATAAAACACATTAAGAGAAATCAGGTTAGAAAGATAATTTCATTATGTGAATCTATTGATTTCTTAAGAGATAACCATATGCTGGCTTCTGTATGAAATTTGCAAATATCACTATCATCAGCTGCGAAAATACTCACAGAAGTTAAATCAACTGAAATCATCGTGCAAGTATTTTACAATTAATTTTAAAATTTTAATATTTAATACAAGTTAAATAAGAAACTAATAAAAACAATTTACTAATCAATGCCAATAATTTCAGTATAAAGTAACTAAATGATAAATGTGTGTATTTATACTTATGTTATTATCGCAAACTGATAAGATTATTCAATAATACTCGGTTCAATGCAATGTATTAGTACTTTCTGTATAAACTAATACTGAAAATAAGTAAAAAAAATTTGTGTTTTATACTTCTGGAATACTTAATAGTTTACAAAATTAATTCATCGTCACAAATTATAGACCATAAATATAGTTTTCCATCTAACAAATATAATATTCAGGAAATTCTGATCCCATATGAATTAAAATTCTTGCAAATATATAAAGAATTTTAATTTTTCAGGGACAAAAACAAATTAAATGACTATTTTTTGTTATATTATTTAAATAATAAAAATAATATATATATATATAAAATTATCGTCAAATTGTTTTCACTTATGTAATAGATATTTTTGCCTCAAGCAACATAAAAAAAAAACAAAATTTTAAACTTTAAAACTGGTCTTAACTGATCAATGTCAGATAACTACAGCTGATAAACCTGATATTTAGAATAATTCTGATAGATATCTCTTTTATCATTACTTAAATCGGAGCAATACAAAACACATTAATTACCTTGTTATTTGATGTGTATAATATATTATTTTATAGTTGTAAACAAAGTATAAATTTTCTCCCTATGTAATGTTTCCAAAGCTTAATTTAATAAGTTTGTCAATTATTCAAAAGTCATAATTATATATTATTACGAAATATTAATTCTATAATGCTATAAAAACAGTAATTATGCAACTTAATTTCCAACCTACTGATTATTTGAGAGGAAATGGGAGTTTAAAAACTGAATAATTACGTCACTAATCATTTTTTATAGCAAGTAGCATAAAATAAATATTTCACATTTTTTCCCTTAAATGACTTAGTAAATATATATAAAATAAGTAGAACCTTTCCTTAAAAATATTTGTTAAAATGATTATTACCTTAAGTAAAAATTCTAATAAATTATTTTCTGTATTTTTATCCTATTATGAAAATCTAACAATACCTGTCTATGTAGATATAACATATGAAACAAAAATAACTCATTTCTGCTTTCTCAACATATACAGAGTACAATGCCACTATCAAAATAATATCTTATTACATTCAAACACAAAGGAACTTTGACTTTTGCAAGTTTAACTTATGTGGATTGGATTATTTATGAGTTTGCCATCGGTAATTAAATGCGAATTGTTTTGGAGTTTAGCAGCCCATTGAGGAAAATTGCAGACAATGCACAAACTAGAAAGTATAAATAAAACGAAAAAGTTTAGTATTAAAGAACTGCAGACGGCATACCCCGTTTTGGAACACCATACACATTTTTCTCTCAGTGTGCAAAGTCACATCTCTCAACTTTTATTACTAAAGTTTATAAAAGCACAGTATTGTACTGTACATAACTGTAAAAACTTTAATTTTACTGTTATATAAGCACTATATTTGCTACACATCGTGTTCCATACATTTACCATACTGTCTCACTCACTCTCTTCGCATTAGCTTACATTATTGATACTGAAATTTTAACCTTATAAACAACATACTATTGCAACACAGTATATTGTCTTACTTTTTTTTGTGTGTTCAACATTTTTATACAGTTATCGCATAAAAAAACAAAATATATTTGATTCTTTTCATATTTTATAATAATTTTTAAATGATTAAACTTCAAATTTCAAAATATAAAACTGTTTTATGATTCATTCCAGAATAAATATAAATAAATATATTTCTTATTCATTAATTTAAGTATTCTAAGTCTATATATATTAATATAATATTTTAAATTATGAAGTTTATTTAAAAATATGCAAATTAATCTACTTAAATGTCTTGACAACACATTTTCAACAGGGAGGAGGACTTTGGTTCAATAACGAATGACAAAAATGACAATTTCCTGTTTGGTTATCTATGACCAGTATTTGATCCTCGTCGACAATGAATACAATGAAAAGGAGAAAAATTAGTACAAGGACTTTGAATAAAATGGATATATTGTTCTTCAATCATTTTTAAAAGAGATTCACAAACAGCATTACCATATTAAGCTACATACTTCAATTTTGAAATTCTCGTTATCCAATTTTCTTACACACACAAAAACAGCAAAATTATTTTTGGCATTCTTATATATGCATTACTAAAATGCAGCCATCTGAGAGATTTAATCACTCATCCATATAGTGCAAATACAGTCTATACAGACCAGAAAACAGCACTAAACTAGTTAATGAATTCGAACAAATCTGTAACGAACTTAAATTCTCTATACGATTTATTATATTCACTAACTTAAGTATTTTTATTAAAGCATAAAAAAAAAATAATATTGATTTCTTGAATTAAGTTTTAATGTTTTTTTTAAATACTTTAATTCCATCATCATCATCATAATTTAAGTTTTCTATATTTAAGACTGTGGATCTTAATACAGGATTAAAGCATTCAAAAAAAGTTAAACTATACAGAAAAGTGTCATATTTCTGAATCAACTCTTTTATTAAGATATAAATCAAATAAGTTTCTATAAGCAAGTTATTTTTGAAACTCAATACATTTATCCACCAAACTTAATTTTCTTTACCAGTTTACATTAAGAATTTTAATGATATTGAAATCATTTAAAGCAACAACAAAACAACACATTTTTGTAACAAGCCAAACAACTGCCGGATTAATCCGGCTATTTTACCACTACTATTAACAATTAAACACTACACAATTCAGTACTAGAGTAAGGCACTAATCTCTTATAATTATTAAATTCGACAAGATTGCGCCTACTCGTAGTACCGAATTTGGTATTTAATTATTAACAGCAGCAGTAAAGTAGCCCGACTAATCCATCAATTATCTCGCACCGAACGAGACAGTTTCGTTTGGAAGAATTTCGTCATATCGAGGACCACAAAACCACGAAGACCCAGCACAGCTTCGTACAATACACCACAAACAACGTATCGAAGTATCTCCAAATAAAGCAGTCTCGTTTAACGGCGGTTACTCGAATCGGAATAAGGCGACAGATTGTATTTACCTCACTTTAAAGCAAATTTTTTTTTTTTAATGTTTAATGAATGAAAACTAAGCTTTATGCTTAGAGTTTTCATTCACAAGTTTAAATATTTTCTTTTTAAATGTAAATTACTTAAAAAGGGGGATTTAAACATGAAACAAGGGGACACTACTACACTTAGAAATCACTGAATTACAGTTTTTATTAAATATAATGTTAACAATGACGTGATTTGGGTCGTTAAAGCGTGTACTCGAGTGAAATATTCAATTTAATTATTCATTTTAACAAGATGAAACCTTATACATGTACTATATACTTGATACATTATAACAAAAAAACTAAATCTTACCCATTTAATAGCCTCTAGCAGATAATTTAAGCGATTGTACCTAGTTATTTTAAGCATAGACATTCATAACACCTTTAAAACGTTCTACAACACTGCCTACATTCTTCAATTGTCTAAAATTATAAATTTGTTTGTTTGTTTTTTTTTTAATCAACTGTTTATTAATGGTGTCTTTCCCATTCGCTGCTGCCCTCTGTCGGAAATATTCCGAGTGTACTCTAAATAGCGATAATATGGATTGTAATATTAAACGCTTATTAAAAATAAATTTTTAATACGTTATTTATAAGAATTAAATTTTTAATTTTTAACAAATAATGAACTTATTTATACTATGCATATTATACTGCAATTGTGTACGTGTAAGAAACAAGCTGATGGCAAGCTGAAAAATCAGTTATTGTGATGACGTCACAATAACAATGATTTTTCAAGCTTGTTGCTATGACATTAAAAATTGCAGCCTAACACTGTGGCAATCATTTTAATTTAAAAATCACGTGACTTCCAGTCTGGATTGCAACTTCGTATATAGTTAATCGAGATCTCTANAATGTTCAATTTTGCTAAGAAAGTCTAATTAAGGATGAAGTACTTGCTTACAGATTATTATTAACTAGAAAATTTTTGCTTAAGATTAATTATACAATAATAATAATAATAGACTTTATTGAGTCCTTCTCCCATTTAAAATGTATCGTTTTAAGAAGTTTAATTTTGTATAATTTTAAATAAACATTCGATTTTAAAGGTTAGCATGAGAGAAAGACGAAGAATGACGCTGTAATTCGGAAGAATACATTTAAAAAAATAAGTCATAAATTAGATAAGCTTGAAACTCAAACCTGCAAGATGGTACCTTCCCGCAAAACCATCTGCTGATACTCTTTTTATAATTAAACAAATTCAATTTGTACAGTTTTAGTTGTCTCGAATCCACAAAAGCCGTTCTGTTTAAGGGTATAGTCTAATATCATTTGCATAATAAATCATTCAGTACCGCTAGATTTTAATTTATCATTTACTTTTTATATATTTTAAAGTACAGAAGCAGAAATTTATAATTTAATTTTCTTTGGAATCCTATGACTATTTTACTGTATTCCGAAAAGAATTTTGTTTTTTGAATTTTCTATGATTTATATTTCGTCGCGCGTAATACAGTATTAAACATACAATGTTTATTTATTATATCGTTACAATTAAAAATTAAGGAAAGGTAAATTCTCATTCTTCTTCTTAACTTAATTTCTATGACCTGTATGTTATATAAAGCAATGAAGTTTCTCAGTAAATCAATGTTCTTAAAGATGAAAAATGCTTAAAAAATAGATAAATTTGAAAAATAGTTTTAAAAATATTTTCATATTATTCTGTCGGGTGATGTTAATCATAGAAAATCAATTCTATTCGAAGCCGCGGACCCATTGTCAATACCTCACTCTTCTTTATGGGTTTTATCCGGAAACACTGCGAAGGATAGTTTTGTGCCCTAAACACATTTTAATCTTGGCGCCTACTAGAGGCCTTGTGCATTGAATAACCTGTACGTTTACATGCCACAGTTCTGGATGTATATTGTGTCTAATTAAATAATCGTTAAATATTTTCCTTTAACTGATGCTGGTTATGGTCCCTCTAAATTTCTTTGCCTTAGGCGACTGTCTAGTACGTCAAGGACCGGCGCTGTCTTATGGGCAAATTGGGCATTTGATATGCCCACGATGAATGTAATGACAATTTTCATCATCTTTATGATGACTTTTTTCCTCATTTCTTATCGAGAGATTAAAAAAGAATCTCAAATGAACAAAAGACGACAGAAAACTTGACACAAACCTGATTCTGAAGAAGAATTTGTTTAACATTTCTCCTAAAAAATCCCGCGATTGGAGCCACCAAATTTGTCCAGCTGTGGTTCGAGAACGTACACAAATAACAGCAATTACGTAGATTTGCCGGATTTCGATCCCGAAAGGATCCATAAAACCAAACAGAATGGTAGATTAAGAAAAATATTCAAGAATTTGACGTGTCAATGCTACCGGAAAAATAAAGATTGTACTTATTCTAGAAGGCCCGATTCGATTAAAAAAATTTGATCGGCTGCAAGAATTGCAGAAAATCATCATTATCCCCCAAAAAATACGATTTAACCGATGTCCAAAATGATGAAAATGAATCATTAAAGGATATTTTAAGACATTATACAAGAGAAATAACGCGAAGTTTCTCTGTGTAGACATTAAGAAATTTGAAAATTTGTTTCAAAACTGTAATTAAACTTCAGTTTTCGTCTACAAATATTTTTACATTGAGTGACCACTCATGGCCACTGGTAGGCACGGTTCTAAATATCTAAATCACTGAACACTGCGGCCTGAACACTATTTCTGCCTAATCAACGAGCAAGCCGCGTGGAATATTACAGGTTTTATTCATGTGTCTAATCCTTAAATAGGATCCAGTTCCCTTTGTGCCATTGTTGCGTTGCCCTATCTCACCAAACAATTTAGTATCATTCAGGGCCGGCCCTAGGAATTTTGCTTCCTTGTACAATACCATGCATTACATCTCCAGGAAACTTCAAATTAACGTTTGAAATTTTAAAACCCATTATGTTAAACAATATCTTTATAACGGACCAATTTTTTTAGGTCCCGTAGTGGTCCGTTACATCGAGTTTTTACTGTATAAAAAAAAGACATACATTTCGCCTTTTAAATAACCACAGGTTAAAAAATAAAGAGTGAACTGTCGGGAGAAAATTCTTTAATTAGAAGATACAAATCTGATAATTAAATTAGAACTATATTATTAAGAAAAATTTACTTTAAGAATCTTTTGTTACCATATTTATATTCTGAGACCAATACAAATTCTGAGATTAAGTTAAACTATTAAGTTAGCAAAATACATTTAATTTACATATTTGGTGTAAATATTTTATAGGCAAATATTATAATGTTTACAGTATTTCTTTCTCTTGTTAAAAACAAATAGTTTATGTTCTTTGTTTAATAAATCGATCAGTTTTCGGATCAATTATTCAAATAAAAGAGAAAACGACACAATTTAGGATTTGTTCAAGGCATTGAGTTTTTAAACGCCTTCTTGAAACACGCATAAATATAAACTGTTTTGTTCTGGAACTCAAAATCAAATATTAGATAGAATCATAAGCTTTCTTTCTGTATTTTACTCTGGCCGGATGGCCGAGCGGTCAAGGTGGCAGCCTACCGCTCTGGGGGACACGGAATCAAATAATCTCCAGAATTTTTTCGGGGGTGGTCCCCCGGGGATGAGGGACGGGTGGCCCCCGGGTGATGAGGGCCCCGTCCCTCATCACCCGGTCGCCACATTGTGGACCTGGCCGTACCCATAATGGGCTTGCAAAAAGAGGCCCTCTTAGTGCCCACAAGACGGAAAGAGTTTTTAAAAAAATAATAATAATAAATGTATTTTACTCTTTTTGCCTTGTGAGTACTAAAGGGTTTCTTTTCTATGTCCATCGTGGGGACATGGAAAAGAAACCCTTTAGTTCTCCCAGGCCTATAATAGGGATGGCGGGGTGATGAGACGGAGCTAAACACATCCAGGACAGGCCGCTTTTCCCGAAAAATTTCTAGGTTTTTCGACCATCTGGATCCGAACCCAGATCTTCCAGAGAGGTAGAATCATCATCCCCTCGACCATCTGGCTGTATTATATATACTTGGCAATAAATCACCTAAAATATAATCCCGAAGATATCAGCCACGAAGTTTTCAGAAAATGTACTGTACATTTTAAAGAGTCTTTACAGGTTTTCACGAAAAATAAAACCAATAAAGCAATTTCAAATTTGCGAGATATTTATAATATAAGCAATAACCGTAAAGCAGTTTAAAACATTTTATTGCAACTTTTATACTTCTTAAGAGTGAATTTTTAATATTCCTCTCCTTCATCTCCAGCATCGCTGGAGTCCATTCCAACTTCTTCGTAATCCTTCTCAAGAGCTGCCAAATCTTCACGAGCTTCAGAGAATTCACCCTCTTCCATACCTTCTCCTACATACCAATGAACGAAAGCTCTCTTGGCATACATAAGATCGAATTTATGATCCAATCGTGCCCATGCTTCAGCAATAGCAGTGGTATTGGAAAGCATGCAAACGGCACGTGGTACCTTGGCCAAATCACCACCAGGTACAACGGTAGGAGGTTGATAGTTAATGCCAACCTAAAATAAACGATAGAAGTTATATAACGAGTATATTTATTAGAGGATAGTCATAAAGTAAGGTAAAAATACCTTAAAACCGGTTGGACACCAGTCTACAAACTGGATAGTTCTCTTGGTCTTGATGGCGGCTATGGCTGCGTTGACGTCTTTAGGCACGACATCGCCTCGGTACAACATGCAGCAAGCCATGTATTTTCCGTGACGTGGGTCGCATTTCACCATCTGATTGGCTGGTTCGAAGCAGGCATTGGTAATTTCTGCCACTGTTAATTGTTCGTGATAGGCCTTCTCGGCGGATATGACAGGTGCATACGTCACCAGAGGGAAATGAATTCTGTAACATTGAAAATGGATGTTAGCAAGGTATTAAATTGGGTTTTATTCGCTTAATTTTTTACTAATTACCTGGGATAAGGCACCAAGTTAGTTTGGAATTCAGTCAAATCGACATTGAGTGCACCATCGAAGCGAAGAGATGCTGTGATTGAGGAAACGATCTGGCTGATCAAACGATTCAAATTGGCGTAACTAGGACGTTCGATATCTAAATTACGTCTGCAGATATCATAAATGGCTTCATTATCGACCATAAAAGCACAGTCGGAATGTTCTAGAGTGGTATGAGTGGTGAGGATGGAGTTGTAAGGCTCTACTACAGCTGTGGAAACCTGGAAAAATCGATAGTGTTACTCTTTGTTTTCGTTAACACTCATTAAAAAAGTCACTTGGGAGGTAGAAGGATAGAGTTAATCTAGACTACAAGCGCTCCACGAATCCGGACCCTCCTCATGGAAGCGTGACTCGATTCCATACTGCTACCCAGGTGACTAATAAGTAAAAATTGAATAATATTGTCATGATAATATTCGAAACTCACCTGTGGTGCAGGATAAATAGAAAATTCGAGTTTTGATTTCTTGCCATAATCGACAGAAAGTCTCTCCATTAAAAGAGAGGTGAAACCGGAACCGGTTCCTCCTCCAAAACTGTGAAAGATGAGGAAACCTTGTAAACCAGTGCATTGATCGGCAAGTTTGCGTACACGATCCAAAACAAGATCGACTATCTCTTTCCCAATGGTATAATGTCCTCTGGCATAGTTATTAGCAGCATCTTCTTTACCTGTGATGAGCTGCTCAGGATGGTAAAGTTGTCGATAGCTACCATTACGGACTTCATCTGAAAGTCGAAAATATTAATTAGAATCGTTAATATCCCTATAGGAAACTTTTTTATAGCAGACTCTCGAGTGTCTGCTACAAAGTGAAGTGTTACTCACCCACTACAGTTGGTTCTAAGTCGACGAAAACTGCACGTGGCACGTGTTTTCCCGCTCCAGTTTCGCTGAAAAATGTATTAAAAGAGTCGTCTGCAACTCCCATAGCCTTGTCACTTGGCATTTGTCCGTCTGGTTGAATGCCATGTTCGACACAGTACAGTTCCCAACAGGCATTACCGATCTGTACACCAGCTTGGCCGATGTGTACACTGATACACTCACGCTAAAATATAGAAAAAATAATAATAGTAATTAAAACTTTATATAATAAATTAGCAAGTTTATCGATCGAAGAAAGGATTAAGACTCCATTCAGTAAAGTTAACTCGACATTTCCGGGTGAAGTATAAAAGTTTCGTGACGATTTTTACGAATATTAAAATCGAAAAAAAATAAAATAAAATAATGAATGCGTGCAGATTTAATTTAAATAAAACGAAAAGATTTATCTAGGTCAGAAAAGTAACTATAATTGATTTTTTTTACGAATAACAAGCCGTGATTCTGGAATTTATCCAAGTTGTAAAGAACGTTGCTCTCTGCAAACGTGGCAGACCACGACTAACACAGCGATAATATAATTATACTATAAATAATTAAATACGACAAATCTCTACTGAAAGTAAAACTAATTAAACAATATAAATAATAAGATTATACATAAATTATTCACTATATTCCATTTATATCCATACGAAGGGCACGGATTGGTTCTCTAAGTTATAACATATACTATACGCAAAAAGCCTGTACACGCTAGTAACTAGTTTAATAAGTTATAAACGTGAGGCCCTCGTAGAATGAGGCCCTAACTCGTATCTTTTTAGATTAAGTCACTAAGTTGTAACTTGTTTAGCTTACGTGTAAATCCGGCTCAGTCTAGGAGGAAGTGGGAGCAAATCACTCCCTATATTCATTTAAGTAAATCGCATTATTCCTTACATTCAAATTAAATTTTAAACTAGAAAATTAAGTAAAAATATACTTACCATTTTTTTAGAATGTGTTGCGAGAAAGTTGTAAAATTAAATTATAAAAAAAATTGGCTGTAAATGGTGAAGAGTCGTTCGTGCTGAGTCTTTAATGCAACTGCACGAATCACTCGTCTAAACTGTACACGGATGTTGAGCAGATTTTATACTGTACATCTTCCCTCGCATGTACTCTCTATCATCATTGGTCGATTGAGAATGACGTGATACCCCCACCCAAGAAATCCATACTTGGAATGATAGAGATTATGTTGAACAAAAGCCAAAATCTGTTTCATTGAGCTGCTTTTATAAAGTAAAACTTTAATTAACATAAAAATTAACTTTTAATTTGGTTATATTTGAAGATTAATTTACGTTTTTTTCAGAATTATTTCGGTTATTTTAACCTTGAAAAAAGTCTGAAGTCTCGTGTATTGTACATCACGTAATGCGATTATAAATGGTTTTCGCTCATTGAAAATGTGTCCTGTCTTCAAACAAATATCACAAAACTTTATTCTGTGCGATTTCCTTCCCATTCTGTACAAAATAATCGTGAAAATTCTATGATTTCGATACAAAAAAAAACAATCTTAAAAAGTTTCGAAATAAGGTCATTCCAAAAATTAGGTCAATCCAAAAACATTTGTTAGAAAAATCTATTATGAGAGTTTTACAAGTGATTTTTTTTTTAATATTTATAAATTTTTAAGAAAGTTTTCGATATACTTTCATGTTTTTTATTTATTTTTTAAGTACAGGTGCAAAACAATTTAATATAAAGTACACGAAAGACATGCCACACCAACACAGTGTGGGTGGCGTGGGCTCTGTAATACCTAAAAAGGAGGCCTTAATTTATAAAAATTAACTAAACCTGTTGAGTCTTAAAGTATAAAAACGCTGTATAACCTTCAAAGTTTGTGTTAATCATCCCAAATCTTCGATTAAAATAGGGAAAATGAACTTTCTGAGGAGGTTCTTTAAGGGTTGTAACACAGCTTACGTAGCGAAATATCTGACGAAACAATATTTTTTTTTATAGTTTCCTAAGCATATTTAATATCCAGGTATAGATATTACATCACAGATCGACCTAACAGATACGTATAAAGGTCATATATAAAGAGAACCGGTTTATTTTACTATATATGGGCATGTTTGTTAATGACGTAAGGCGGAATTAACCTCCTACATCGTTAGACAGGAGAGATTTATCCATTGGATTAACACCTGTTATACTACAAAAATAATTTTATAAAATGAACTCAAACACATGTTATATCTAAAAGCAATTACAAAAGAAATTACAGTCGACCCCCCTATAACACTATTGATTATTCCGTTTTATATGAATTCCATGTTGTACGAGTCACTTAGATTTTACAAATACGTGTGCCAGGCTGTGAACGGCTCACGTATTTGTAAAATCTAAGTGACTCATACAACATGGAATTCATATAAAATGGAATAATCAACAGTGTTATAGGGGGGTCGACTGTAATAACGAATTCGTGTTTATAACAAACACAGACACTGGAAATGTGATCTAACATTATTACATTTAACACTAGAATAATACAAATATGCAGAAAATCACTACACTAGAAATATAACGCTTATTATTTTTTAAAAAAGTACACTAAAATATTCAATGTTAGTTGTTTGTAACTGAATACAAAAAACACTAGTCACTTCATATACACGTACAATGTAAATAATCCATTGTTTTTCGTATTTTATAAGTATTAAATGATTATTAAGTAGTGTCTTCGTTAATATTCAACGATAGGTAGCTGTATTTTTCCTATTTTATATAGCAACAGCTCATATTTTAAAAGAAAACTGGTTTGATTAACCGGTTTACACGTGTGTTCTCCTCAAACTATAATGTAGCCTAGATCATAAGAAAATTCGATTAATTTAAGTTTAATTTCGTACTTTTTTATTTAATTAATAATGATATAGCCCTATCACAGAACAATATCTACATTGACAATAGATGACGGTATCCGTGAAAAGTCAAAAACTTCTGTGAGGTAATTTAAATACAGTGTGAAGAATGAAGTATGGCAGGCTCCACGTTGCATTCTTTATCAGGCTAGCAGAGGTGAAAATATGATTAACAATACAATAATGTCGCAACTTCCGTTTCTGATAATAGAAAATTGTGCTAAAATGTTATTTGCTTTTTCGATTTTTATGTTAAATTATTCGTAAAATCATCATTTCAAATAAAGTGTGTTAGAACATCTCGAAACACGTATAGAAAAACAGATAAAGGGGGACCAACAAGACCATTTGGCAGGCTCCGAACATACAAAGATTTGATTGGATTGATGAGATAAGGTAATGCAATACCTGGATCTGCTAAGGGGAGAACTTTCTATGGAAAACTGGCCTCTGATTAAATGTTATAGCTTCATGGGACCCAGAATAATTTGAATTAGGGGCTCCATGATTTCAGACATTTTTCTTCGGGAAATATTTTCTTATAAAAGATTGGTTTTTGGGCCATCTGTCGGTAAGGGTTCCAACAATTGCTCTTTTTGCCCTTAGGATAAAGCGCCGCTGTGTTAAACATGTGAAGAAACCTAGGAAAAACTAACTCCACGTGGCCAGCCAGTTGGTGAGTTGCGAACCAGCAACCAACTACCATATTACTTTAAAATGTTCTGCAACTATTTTCTGATAGTATATTCACGTGACCAATAAGTAATCTTATAAGAACAAATTTATATGTTGCTAATACAACTAAAAAGCCCATGAAGACAATACTCGTAATTATTGGAAAACCCCATATTAACAATCTATCATATGTATTTCATTGGTTTTTTTAAGGCTATTAATTGCAGCTTTCTCTAAATTTCATGAATATTTTAAACCCAAACAAATAAAGTTTTAGCCACTTTAAATTTAATAATAAAACATTATAAACAGATTTTTTTAATGGCTTTTTTCATGTGTTAATAGAGAATTCAACACAGTACATACCAGTCATCAATGCAGATTATGTAGACGTTGGCAAAACCGGTATTTGCATAAAGAAAATATTATTTGCATATTCCCTTATAACTTTTATACAAATAAAATAAATAACCTAGTTTATTGTTTACTTAGTTAATCCCGTGTTGAGGTATAACTGTATTAATAACGTTTACCCTTAATAAACTCTTTTCTGCATACATTGCATGTTTTACAGAGAAGCTGAAAGCTTAAAAAATAATCAGAATAAACAGAAAATAGAATATTTTTTTTTATATAGACAGAGAAAACTGAGTTCTGACTTTTTCAACTAATAAATTGTAGTCTCAGCTAAATTAATAGATGCATTTTTAACAATGGAAAATTTAAATAATATTAATCTTTTGCTCCAGTTAATGGACCATCTTCAGGTGTGGACAATTGGAAATGAAATGTTAAAGTGATGTTAAAACACATTCTTTAACCTTCAATTAATAAAAGGTGCATGTTCATCCCTATTAATTGTAGTCTCTAAAATCAAACTGTATTCCTACCTTCTAGCTTTAGGTTGAAAAAAAAGACAAAGTATAAGAGATAGAAAACACTAGTATAGAAATATGTTGAATGATTTATAGTTATTCAGTAATTTTTTAATAAAATAAAGTTTAATTTGTTAGAACACTGGAGAGAGAGGAACATTTTCATTAATGTTTGCCCATAACTTATAAAACAAACATAGAAAAACAGATATAAAAGTGTATTAAAGTCTGTCAAGTAAAAGATAAATTTTAAAAAAATAAGGCACACCTTTTTTATGTCCATTATTGGTTCAGTTAAGTTCACAATGGAGAGTCTGAGGACAAGGTGTACCAGTAGTTTGCCTAGATATATTCTGTCAAATCATCTATTAAAAGTTTTGAAATTTTTGACTTGGCTTCTCAAGAGTCTCAATGTTGGAAGTCTCAAGAACAGCAGTCCATTACTTCCTTATCTTATTACTTTGCATTACGTTTGAAAGTTTCAATTAAGACATTATTTTAATAGATTTAATGCAAATAATATGGAAAATTTTACAAATAGCATAAAATTTGTATTTATATTTGGGCAAGTAGTGTACAGGGTTTTTGAAAGATAACATCAATTGGACAAGATGTTATGGAGGAGTTTACAAGAGTTAATAATGTATAAAAAGTTTTCTTGCATTTGGTATGGTTTAGTAAAGACTGCTCTTTAAGGTTTTGTGATTATTTTTATTAGCAATTGAACAGTAAGCACATACATGCAGTAAGCAGTTAACAAGACAGAAAATACTCTATCAAAACAAGCTGCCTGACAATGTTTGATAATTAACTAACTAAGCAATGTTCAAAATACCCTTTTTTCTCATGCAAGCCATCTCAGCACGCCAACAAACTGAATGTTGAATCTTGTCCAACAACTCGTTGCTGTCTTACTTTTATTGCAGCAGCATGATTTCTTTGTACAAGGATATTGGTCCCTATTTAGATTTAGACATGTAAAGTGAACCCAGAAATCTAATGTAGCAAGCCTGTTGGTCTGGCAGGAACCCACAACCAACTACCAATATTCAACGGTTTCATCTCCTCAGTTACTGGTAGGCTCTTAGAGTTATGATAATACTGTTCATCACTTCAATAATAATATAGTATAATCAGAAGTTACAGTAAAACCTCAGAAGTTGAATTAATATGAAGTCAGATGTAATACAATTAGTGATTAGGTTCCTCCTCTATAAGTTTACATATGCAGTTCCCAACTTTTCTTGACTTGCTTAGCCATTTTTATAAGTTTTATTTCACGTATTAGTCAAACAGTGGTACTTTGGTATGCTATACAGCACTTTTTTTAATCAAAAAGCATTGGAGGAGAAATAATTATATTTTTATTATATTTAAAATTAAGCACCGAGTATTGTGACATTACGAAAGACCTGAATGCAGAACCCAAATATTCTTATAGTGCATGTGCCATTATTTTTTCGCATACCCTATGGATATGCATAACCCTGGTTGGGAATCACTGCTCTACATTAACATTAAAGACTTCCTCAATTTATTGTATACAAGTATGTTTCATTACTATAACAGTACAGTATATTTTCCTATAAGGATAATCAGCTTTAATACATATTGAGAGAGTATAATCTTAATACAATATTTAAGTATGGGTAAACTGATTCATAGACGGAAAGCTCTTATGACTCATAAAAATTAACTGGTCTGAATGAATAAGAGGAAGATACAGTAAATTTAACTGCCACAGATTTTGGAAATAGCAGATCTAAATTTAAGATAAATAAAAAAAAAAACAGCAAGTTAAACTTTTCATTTTAGAAAAAACTCTTTGGTAGTAGGTCAGTAAAAACAAATTCCTGTGATTGTGAAAAGGACGACAAAGAAAACTACAGTACATTTATTTTTATAAGTCTTTAATATTTTACATTTTTATAATTTGCTTTATATAAATTCAACTCCTTCATTAATCTATCATCATGACCCAAATGTTAATTATTGAACTTTATCTATCACATTATTGCATCATGGTCATTTTCTGTAATAAGGTATTCAGAACTGAAACGAAAGCATCCCCATGTTGCCATAAACTACTTAATAACAGCTACAAGATGATTATAAGTATGATACAAATAAATATTTCATTTCAACTCTCATATCTTTTACATATTTGTATTCAATTTTGTTCAATTGTGTCACTATCTATTGGCAAGTAATATGATATATTCTCATTAATCCAAACTAATTGGAACCCAGACCTGTTCAGATTAGTGTGTTTTTTGGTTTATCCGAAAATCTTTTTCCCTATGTATTTATTTAATGAGAGATTTCTCAATATATTTTATTTGTATCAGCCCATTGTATTACATCAGGATTACTGACAGAAGTCAACATTTTTGAGAACTGTCAAATTCAGTTCACTTGTGGAAGAGTTTTCGATGTTTTTCCGTTGGGTGTGACCATATAGAAAGAAGGCAAAAGGAGACTAATCTTCAGTTTATATTAAATTTATTTTAACATTACACTTATCTCATGCTACCCAAAATACATGGTATATATTTTGTAGCATGAGGTAAGTGTAATACCACATATTTTGTGTAGAGATAGAGATCCAGATTTTATCATCATTCAGGTCAGCATCCTATATTTGATACAGCAAAAACATTACAATTTCATAATCAAGCATTATACACACGTCCAAAACTTCAGGACAGACAGAATTTGTGCATGAATAGAGAGAACTGTAAATGAATGCTAATAAATATGACAAGAACTGTACTACTCAATGTCTAATACAGGGTAATACATAACTTGTAAGATTTTACAAAACAAAGCAATAGAAGTCTTTGGTGAAAAAGATACCTACAGTAGTGGATATAGCAGAGAACGGATAAAAAGTGCTTACCAATATCCAGGTAGTGAGACCTTTCAATATGAAATATGTCCACCTCAAACTACAATATGGTGCATACATCTTTGTAGTCTCATTACCAACTGGCGTGGTGACTTTTCCTAGCTATCACTGCTAGAAATTGTCTTTTTCCTTCAGTTTTGAACATACGTTTTGTGTTAATGTAAATATGATTCATTTTTAATTTTTGATTCTTCTATTACTGTTTTATACTTCCTACATATAACTTTGTGTGTACGTACATCTTATGATATTGTCTTTAAATACAATAATAAATACAACTCAAAGACATTGTCATTTTCTGTAATTTAATATGAAAAATTTAATTTATAAATATAATCTTGGATACTTCTAATTCAATTAATTCATTTTACATTCATTCATTTTTATATTTTATTTATTATTGTTATGAATGGATAAAACTGAGAATTCAGGTTTTATTGTAAGAAATTATAATTGATTTAAGGTATTTTACAACTTTTAAGCTTATTGATTACTGCACATTCTAATAAGTAAAAATCACAATTGTATCTAATGTTGAATAACAGAAAATAAATTTAGAATGTTCAGTGATTTTAAAAAACCTTATACAGGTTGAAACTCTAAATTCAGCATTATGTGATCCAGCACAATTTGAATCTGTCCACCCCTAGTTTGTAGAATTAATAAAAAAAAACTATATATAAAACATATAAAGGAGCCTGTCAGCAAAATTATGATGATTTACAAGAATAAAAGATCATCAGTGTGAGCCTTTGAGGTTCTATGATATAGACACTAATCTTTCTCCATCTCTTTTGACTTGGAGAATCATTGTGGTAGCCAGAACATTCTTAAGTTTTAGGTCTCCTCCCATTTTGTCCAACCAACTTTTTTGTGACTGTCCAAGGTCAGACTCCTTCCATTGTTTGGGTGTAAACAAATTTTGGCAGCAAGTCTAGGTGCATTCTTTCAACATAACTCAGCAATCTAATTTGATTGGCTTTAAAATTCCTGTTATGTATATGACACTGTACTGTGCAGTTGACGTATTTCAACAAACTAAAATGAAAAAGTTACAGCATATTAAAAACAAAAGTCTACAAAAGAATTTTTGATCCAACTAGAACAACAAATGGCAAAAACCACAAAAATATATTTATCGAAAATTTTATACTCAAAAAGTAGGACAAATGGGAGCCATGTTAATAATTAATAAATGTGAACATATGATAAACATGTGTTTATATATTTTAAGAAAAATATAATAAGAAAAAGTTATTTATAAACCTAAAAGCATTGTAAAAATAATTGTTAATTATACTTTATAGAAACATAATAAAATTTCAAGTACATTATTAAAATCTTTGCATTTTTGTTTTCCTTATACGAAAAGTAATTGATTTCTCGTTAAATTTTCTTTCCTTTTTTTTGTTCAAAATTAAGCATATTGTTTAAAAGCACATCTGTCAAAAGCTTTAGTATGAAGCCCAGGGTAGAGCATGCGCCATTTGTCCCTCGACAGACATTTTCCTTTTGTTTCAAACAAATTAAATACATTGCTATCTATTAATAAACATTCTATGTATTTAATTTTTTGTTAATAAAAATATTAACTTATAGGTGTAGAAACTACTATGTACCTAGGAAAAAAATTCTAAGCCCCATCTCTTGATAATCCCTGTTTACAAGTCTTAAATAGTGGGTCCTTTAAAATAATTGAGAAAGCTGAAGATGACTGAAACCATTAAACATATTGGCATGTTTCAGCTTCTCAATGATTTTTTTAAAAATGAAAATAATCCAAAAACTTTTATAAACAACTTTATTTTGTATTCATGTTTTATTAAGAATTTGTTAACAAAAAATGTTTTATTTAAGTGTATTTCTCGATAATCAGAAGAATCCGATTTGTATATTTTGACGACAACTACTATTTGTATATATTTGTATTATATTATATATTATTGTATATTGTATTGTATTATATTATATATTGTATTATAAAATATTTGTATATTTTGATTAAAAAAAAAACATTGGAGCTTGTCGTATCTTTAATAAAGCAAGAATTTTATTTTTGAACAAAAATTATTTAGTCATATTTGAATATAAAAAAACAAAACAATATCACAAATTTTCAGTTTCACATTAGTGATTTTATTTTTTTCTTTCAAAAAAAATAAAATAAAATAATAATAATACAACAAATCTCACATTTGAAACAAACATTCTTGTGGTAAAGTTGGCAGCAAAAATTACTAAATGTTATAGCTATATGGACATAAAAAATAATTAAAGTCAGCGGTACATTACTCGATAAAATATAATTTTTTTTTAATTAGAAAAAAAATACATAGAATACGGAATGCAGTCGTGAGACTAGTCCTTACGCCAATGCCTACCGTCCAAGACACGCTTTCGGGCAAGAGTTTGAATGTAACTGACTGAAAGTTTAATGATTAGAGCCAAATAATTTTAACCTCCCAAAGCAGTAATTTTATTATGTAAAAAATTTAAGAATTGTAATAATAAAGTATACATCAATTTAATAATGTGAACGAAAGATGTGAATAAATTTGCCCCAGGAAAGAAATTACAAAATTAAAAAGTAAAATGGTTTATAATTTTGGAATTCTATCTACCACCTCTTTTTGTGTTCGTCCATACTGACGCCTCCCGGACCTAAAGATACAACCATGAGCAATCCTCCGATAACGGATAGCGTTTGGAAAAAGTCGTATTTCAAGAAGTCTCTCATTGGCTTGTAGGAAGGTATTGTCCACCAAGCATTTAAATATAGATTGAGAAGGGACAACCAGAGAACGAGGACGAGTGCAGATAATTTGGTCTTGTATCCTACCGTGACCAAAACCATCAGAGCGGAGCCGACTATATTCTGAATGACTTGCAGGAAAGATACTTCTAGTCGGAGGACTGTCATGAACATGAAAACCAACAATATTCTTCCGGTTAACTGTAAATAATTTTTGGGTTTGTTATCGCCAAGAGTCGGTACGCCGGCAAACAGACTTTTTCCTTCCACTCTGCTTTCGGCCAACAGTAGTAAAAGTGCACCTACAAGTGACAAATTCCTAAAAATAAAAATAATTTGTTTGAGAAAGTCTTTTAAACAAGTATTTTAACATGTTCTTTAGTAAAAAAAAAAATAACTAAAATTTATCATCATGAAAAAATAACCTCATTAAGTTAGTGGTAAAAAAAATCCCAACTTTCAATTAGTTTCCAGCTAATGAGTTTAGTACCCAATTTTCTCAAATTTTCCTGTGGCCATAAATTTTTTATCATTAAACCATTTCTCACAAATCTGTTCACAAAATGATTACAAAATTGTACACAGTTTATGGTGCATTGACAAGACATCCCTTGTGTCCTAATCAGAATACCAGCAATATATTGATCAGTAAAAGAATGTCAAACCAAGATTGTAATGGTGTAGTGTTGTGTTCAACATGAAATCATAGTGTCCGTTTATCTTAATCATCTATATTTAAGTGGAATATGAGAGAAAACTAAGATTATATGGACCTATTGAAATATGGAGGGTACCTGAAAAACAGGTTTGCAGGTTTGAGTTAAAAGTACCAGAAATTTTGATCATATTATAGGGAAAACTCTATATATTTAATTCGAAGCTGACAACAGGTTCCAGGCAAATGCAGATTGACTTAGTGGTATCTTTCTGTATTATATTAGCTATATAAAGAAAATCTTTTCTATTGATCTTATTAGTTATTGAAAGAAATGAAAGATTTGATATATAGTATCTGTTGTTTGCTTTAAGATGCATCTAAATGATAAGCAAATATTACATATGGTACTTGCAAAAGATAATTATTTTACCAAAACCAGGGCTGTGGAGTCGGAGTCGGATGGTAAGGAAAAGTCGGAGTCAGTAGATTTTTACGCGACTTCCACAGCCCTGGCAAGGCTGTTGAGTCGGAGTCATGGAGTTTTGGTGTTTTAGCTGGAGTCGGAGTCGGATGATAAGGAAAAGTCAGAGTCGGCAGATTTTTACGCGACTCCACAGCCCTGACCAAAACACTTGCTTATTTACATTCCAATTTTAAAAAAAATATATATCTATTGTTTCATAAAGTGTTAAAGACAGTTTCTTAAGAAGTATTTTGATTAAATAATAAATAGATAATACACAGACTAATTCTGTAAATCATAATATATAGAAAGAATTAAGATATCACAATTTAAAATATGTAAATTTATGTAAATAAGATGCAATAATAGACATTCAAACTTCCATATAATGAACTGCCTTTTGGAAACACAGTGAATTTGTTATACAGAAAACTTGTTAAATGGAAAATGTACCAATACTGAAAAGAGAAAAACAGTGTACTGTAATGGGAACGATGTTTTCTTCTTCACAAATCTATCCTCGTACTCATATTGTGAACAAAATGAAGTGTTAGGTATTCATTCTACAAGAAAAATTAAACATATGATATATATTATAGCAATTTATTAAAATTGAGGGGAAAAAAATGTTACAATTGAAATTAGTCCCACATATTTATGCTGGAAAATAGCCAGTAATCTTTGCTTCTTTTATGTGATTTTTATTATATATATATTCTCTAAATTTCATGAATATTTTAAACCCAAACAAATAAAGTTTTAGCCACTTTAAATTTAATAATAAAACATTATAAACAGATTTTTTTAATGGCTTTTTTCATGTGTTAATAGAGAATTCAACACAGTACATACCAGTCATCAATGCAGATTATGTAGACGTTGGCAAAACCGGTATTTGCATAAAGAAAATATTATTTGCATATTCCCTTATAACTTTTATACAAATAAAATAAATAACCTAGTTTATTGTTTACTTAGTTAATCCCGTGTTGAGGTATAACTGTATTAATAACGTTTACCCTTAATAAACTCTTTTCTGCATACATTGCATGTTTTACAGAGAAGCTGAAAGCTTAAAAAATAATCAGAATAAACAGAAAATAGAATATTTTTTTTTATATAGACAGAGAAAACTGAGTTCTGACTTTTTCAACTAATAAATTGTAGTCTCAGCTAAATTAATAGATGCATTTTTAACAATGGAAAATTTAAATAATATTAATCTTTTGCTCCAGTTAATGGACCATCTTCAGGTGTGGACAATTGGAAATGAAATGTTAAAGTGATGTTAAAACACATTCTTTAACCTTCAATTAATAAAAGGTGCATGTTCATCCCTATTAATTGTAGTCTCTAAAATCAAACTGTATTCCTACCTTCTAGCTTTAGGTTGAAAAAAAAGACAAAGTATAAGAGATAGAAAACACTAGTATAGAAATATGTTGAATGATTTATAGTTATTCAGTAATTTTTTAATAAAATAAAGTTTAATTTGTTAGAACACTGGAGAGAGAGGGACATTTTCATTAATGTTTGCCCATAACTTATAAAACAAACATAGAAAAACAGATATAAAAGTGTATTAAAGTCTGTCAAGTAAAAGATAAATTTAAAAAAAATAAGGCACACCTTTTTTATGTCCATTATTGGTTCAGTTAAGTTCACAATGGNTAAATCATTTGTAATTGAAAAACTTTTTCATTTACAAACAATTTTTCACGGACAATGAAAAAATTAAATGAAAGTCAGTAATAAATTACAGTACTAACTGGATTGCTTTTATCATCATCATTTTGTATTTTATTTAAATATAATGTTAATTACCAGGTGTTAAATAATATAACTAATATATTATGATCTAACACAATTATCTATATTTTGTTGCTATTCAATCAAACATTTAATTCATTTACATTAAATGCTTATAATTTCTTGTTGATACTTTATTAACTGAATCTTAACGTAAAATACTTCCATAATCATTTCTTTCTCATGGAATCTATTTTTCTAAAATGAAGCTGCTATTGAATCTCTCTTTCTTCTTCTACAACTGAATCTCTTCCAGAAATACTGGAATTGTTGGCTTTGATGTAGAATAAAATATTCTCTAGTGCCAAAATTTTTAAATTCTAACATTACAATTAACTCAAAACTATTATTGATCTAGATTATCGACTCTTAATAATAGAATTTATAATTTCAGACTAGAAGCAACCATTACTAACTTAGAAAAAAATGGAAATTTTTTAAAGCAGATAATTGACACTGAAAGTACCTATGATAAATGATAATCTTATGTTACTTTTTGAATAAATTAGCTGGTATTTTTTTTAAATTTATATTCACACTTAGAAAAAGTGAATTAATATCACTTAAATAAATTGGCAATATCATTTCAAAAAGTATATATGTACAAGTATAATGTAAGAATTTAGGTTAATTGTTTAAAGAATTTATCAAAATATCTAAAAATAGAAGGATACAGGAACTCTGAAGTGAAAAAAATATAATAATATTGACTGAATAATGTCTCATAAAACTAGTCAAAGTTAAATAGATGAAAGTTGGAAGTTAAAAACTAGTTAAAACTAGTTTTCAACTTAAAAAATCACAAACCAAATTGTAGCTCAGTAATAATTTGTAATAAAAAATTAAAAATCATAAATTATCATGTAATTGCTTCACAAATCTCAAAATAATATAAAAATGTATAGTAACAGTTGTCAAAATTAATTTTAAATATTTGAAGAATACATAAGAAAAGAAAACTGAAAGCAGTTAAAGGAGTCAGGAAACTTTATTCTGATTAAGTGATTTGCGACACTTTTAATCCAGTCTTCAGATCAATAAGGGAGGCAATTTGAATAGAAAAATGGTTTGTATTCAAACTTTACTTATATCTTATGGAATTTTTATTTAATAAGCGAAACATTTTATATAAACTCTTTTTTAAAAGTTCATTTGCAAGNTTCGGAGTGGCTATTTCAAAGGGCAATTTTGGCAACTAAAAATAATATTGTCGACGATATCAACTTTAATATTCAAAAGAAAATTCAAAACTGGCAAGACCTCCTCCTCTTTTAAGTTTGGGAATTGTATAAAATATAAATCAAATCAACTTTTTATTAACAAATACACTAAATACAATTTACACAGTTTTCACACTTTATTTTCGATTTATATTCAGTCACTGTATCATTTTTATTACTCACACTTCACTGTTTGTTTTTATTCACTCACTGCACTACTTTGGAATTTTCACTTCTTTTTTGGTTCTTCCCTTCATCACTGATAAGAAACTGATGTTCAAACCCACAATGGATCTTGCTTTATATATCCCACCAATGGATAGTCCCACCCATACAAAAAAAAGCTTCGAATGGTCCACAATGTTCCACAATGATGACATTTGAATCATGAAGAAGCATTCCAAAACCAGGAGGTCTTATAGGCCAGATACAAAAATAGGACCTTAAAATTTATTTTAAAAAATATCAATATAGACTCCTTGACTCATCCCATAATCAAAGATAAAGAAACTGCAATAGTCTTGAGAAAACTTCACATCTCATTCATTTATGGACTATGATGTCTTACAATGACTGAATGCTAACAGTGCATACTTATTCCTAAATATTCTGCATCTTATTATATCATTGTATAGGAATATCATAACATAGTATTGATGATAGCTACATACTGTCCAAACCTTCATTCCAAATTGTTTAATAATTCAGAGCTATCTTATACAACAGACAAACTAAAAATCTTCAAATTTAGACCTCATCTGAAAGCCATCTGACTATCAAAATAATTGACATTTTACAAACATTATAGAGGTAACATAAATAAATATATTTAAAAATTTTTACAAACTGTTATACAGTGGTACCTCAGGATACGAAATTAATCCGTTCCGAAACTGAGATCGTATCATGAAAATGTCGTAAGGTGGATCATCTTTTCCCATACGATTACATGTAAAACCAAATAATTCGTTCCAACGCGAAAAACATACTCAAATNCTTGCTTTATATATCCCACCAATGGATAGTCCCACCCATACAAAAAAAAGCTTCGAATGGTCCACAATGTTCCACAATAATCTGGGATGTTCCCTAATGTTCCAGAACATCCCAGAATGCTCTTGAATACTCTCAAATGTTCTGGACTGTTCTAGAAATTTCTAGAGGGCAAAACTTCCAGCCCTTATATCTTCAACAGCACACCCTTCAGGTAAAAAATGGAAACCTTCTTCATGGATGGAGGATAGAGGGCTACCACGCCATATAACTCCCTTGATCGTACCAGGACTCGTTTTTGAGTTTTAGCGACATGCACATTGTACACTTACCTTTATAATATATATTGATGATGATGATTAAAAGACTAGAACAGAGATGGGCAAATGGCATGATTGCCAACAATTCTTTTCCATCATGCAACCTGGAGATCGCCTTAAAAATAAATATCTAACATCTTTTTAAATATTTTTTTCTGAGTCATAACAAATTTATCAGGTTTCTAAAGTGTGTATGTGAATTTGATTATTTGAAAATGTTTAATACTTAAAACAGCAAATAATAATAATAATAGACTCCCAAAAATTTCAGTTGGCACAAGAGAAAATTTTGCATGATATATAGATTTGGAGATTTTGAACTGCACACTTAAAAAGATTGCACACCTCTGAACTATAGCATATCGTTTAAAAAAAAATTCTGATAATTTATTAAAATTTATACGTTTTCATTCAATACTCAAATATTTTACATTACTTTATTTTGTGAACTTTCTTTCATTTTCAAAAAATTATGAGTTCCATATTCAAATATGATCAGAGATAAGAACATTTTAATATAATGCTACCCAATAATATAAATCAGTTACAATTATGTAAAATTCAGATTAACAGAAAGTAATTAAGAACAGAGAAGCTTCGATAAAAAGGTCGACTCCACCTGTAGAGACTGTTTGTTCCTGAAGGTATGAGAAGGACAGAAGACAAAGCATTTCTTCAAAATGAAGATTTAGTGCTTAAAAATATTGTAATATTTTTTTTATATACATATAATTAAGAACATTCATATCTTAACAGATACAAATGAAAATGCATTCTCAACCTCTCAATATTAAACGCATTGCCTTTCACACATTAATTCAAGATCATATATATAATAGATTTTAATCTCGTCTTTTACAAAGTGTTTGCTATTTATTAAAGACATCAAATGAGTTAGTAAAATTATAGTACAAAGAATACTGTGTTAATTTTTTCACAGCATTATGCTTGATCAAGAAATCTGCATATTTCCTTAATTAGAAAGATATAAAACCTAATGTAGTTTAAACAGTACTATATTAATATTTTTTAATTAATAAAACAGCAAAATAAGATAAAATTATATCATATATAGCAGTGTTTCCCAATTACTGGTCCACTAAGTATTTTTTCTGGTTCACAAAAAATAAGAAGATATTAAAAATTTGACAAAATAATACACACAAGAAAAATTCTCAATTTGATATTCAATCCATTCAGAATGTGTCTTTAAATTTTATTGGTTTAGTAAAAATACATAATAATTCAAAATTTTTAAATTTAACATATTAAAAATTTTATACAGGTAGCCTTCGGTTTACGCCGCAGTTCCGTTCCTACAAAAGCCGGCGTAAAACGAACCCATATTTACAGTGAGGTATAGGGTTAGGTTCTACATAAGTGAAAAATAAGCAAATAATTTTATTTATTAATACAATATAATACAATATATATAATATTTTATGATAAAATGTATTTTATCATAAAATAAAGTGAAATGTTTTTATTAAAAAATTTTAGTTTCGGATCTCTTACATTTTTCGGAAAAAAGTATCCATCTTTAATTGTTTACATTTTTGTTTTGTTTCATTGAGAATTTCGGAATATGGTCGAATGGATGCAATGATGCTTCTTTTTACATTTGCACTTCGCTCCCAATTATTGTCTAACTCACATCCGTTCATCTGTCAAACTTTCCATAGTTGAAAGGATGTGTTAACCTGACATAGAGCTACAGATGAGCGGAGACACTGATTGGTCGACCACTGGACGCTGTAGCGCATGTATAAGGTCAGTTTGAGCGGGAAAATTGAAGGTGGCTAAGGAGAGATAAATATTGTCTGGCTAATAAAAAAGTATCGTCTAGCCAAAAAGAAGTAGATTTGTCTCACTAAGGATAGTTTGTGATCGCCAGAAGTGCTACTGCGTTGTAAGGTGTTTTCTTGAACGAATTGATATGGGATACATTCATTGGCACTATGGATTCAGATGCCATTTATTGAACTATTAAGTTTGATAACTTGATTCGTGGGTACCTAAACGTTTAGTGTTTTAATATTAATTTAATACAAATGTATACATACCCAATAATATTAAACAGAAAAAATAAATATATTTAATAAAAATCTTTGTTTTAACGAATGTACAATGTCGCGGCTCGGTAAATACATCAACACTGAAATGAAAATCAGTCTAGCATAGAGAAATCGGGGAATTACACCTTGAAACAGCGAATTGCGCAGCGGTGTTATTGTGAATCGGCGTAAATTGAACAGGCATAAACCGAGGGCCACCTGTATTTAGCTATAATTGTAATTAGAAGTGCAGATGCCTCAGCAGTAGGTATCAATCAAGGCATCAGTCATGCAATATTCAAATGGATGAGTTAATGGACATTAACAATCATGCTATTCTTCTATGCTATATAAGATATGTAGAAAACAACATATGAGAAGAAGTCCTAAAGATTTCTCAAAGCTTTGAATGTGTTTTTTTTCTTTCTTTTTGAGGCACACAGCAAGAATTGGAGTACGTGTGTCAGAATATGCACAGATGTTCTGTGACCATGATTATCAAGTTGTAAGATAAATATCAAGAGTTGATATTTATCTTACAACTTGGTTCTCTGCTATTTTTTCAAAGTTTGGAAAACAATAAAAAAATTTCTTCAGGAACAAAATTCAACCCATTTAAATTTTTATTAAATTAAATAGTTAGGCTTTTTGGCAAACATATTTTCTCCTGTCGATGAGCTTCATTTATCACATCTAGGAAGTATGAAACTTTCACTGTTTGGAATGAAATGGAAGAATTTTAAAAATAAACTTTTATTTGCTTTAAAAAAATCTTAAATGTTTCCTCATCATAATGAATTTTAACTTCAATTAATATTAATCAGAAAGATATCTACTTTATGAATGAATATCTAAGAACCTTGTCTGGAAATTTTAAACATTTTACCCAAATTGAAGATCCTCAATGACTATGGATTTCTGTTCCATTCGCAAAAAATGATAATCAGATTCCACCAAAATCATTCTTAAATTAAGCTTGAAAGAGAAACTCTTATTGAACTTTTTCTGTCATCACCCTATCCTCAAAATTTAAATTACTATCTATGACTCAATTTTGGATTTCTATTAAGAACAAATACCCAGAGCTTAGCAAGAAAACTTAAATTGTTACTTTCTCCATAATGTACCCATGCAAAAAAGCATTTTAAACCATATCAGTAATTAAAACAAAATATAGAAATTGGATAAATTCTGATGCTATACTGAACATTGTTGAAACATCACTATATCCACAACCCAAAAAATATGTATATAAAAAAAGGCAGCAATAGATTTTGAAAAAATAAACAATATTAATTATTTTGTAATAAGCCAAATGACTGCCGTATTAAATTGGGTTGCTTATCCACAATTATTTTTAATTAAATTTAATTATTTAGATATTATAAATTATTTAGAAATTATTCATATTACTAATGTATCGGCTTTGAGATGTTTGTATATGTAATTATTTTGTAAGTCTGCTGTGCATTATATTAAAATTTTTGAAAAATATATTCAAGTTTCATATAATATGCGAAATGTTTTACTACACTTTTCACTTTCCCAGCCCATTAAAATTTTTACATCTTTTGCAACTCTGCAAATGGAAAATGTTGAAAACCACTAAATATAGCATAAATCCAATAAATTCTTATTGTTCTATACCGATATTTATACAATTAATAATTCAAGACATATATTAAAAATATATATTATGTTTATATTCAAATATGATATTGTGAATACACTATAGTATTCTGAATAGTAGAATTATTTTCAATGATAACAAATAATTGTAAATGCAATCATATTGTGTATTAATTAACACACATTTTTATATAATGCTAGCCAAGCAAAATGTAACACCTTGATGGACTAAAAGATATTGAAACAATGGAAGCTTCCTCCATGGTGTTCCATTTTGCTTGTCCAGCAGTGTATTTGTCATAATAAATATTTACATACCTCAAAAGAAACTGCATATCCCACAGGATGTTGTATGCAATAGACTGCAAAAAATATAGAAATACAAACATTAAATTTTCCAATAATTACTCAAAATAATAATTGATTAAAATTAAATATTTATTTTATAATATTGAGAACATTACATATATTATTTAAATGCTAAAAAATGAAAAAAGTATAGTAAAATTTATATTAAAATAATTGAAGAGCTTATTTTCAAAGTGACTCATCTCTATTTTTTAGTTTTTTTTTTTAGTTCATGGCACCAACACATACAATGTTAAAAAGAGGTAAAAAAAATGATCATGTCTATTAGCTGATTTGTTTCCATTGGGGAATAACTTAAGCTGGAAAAGATAGATAATGTGCAGAAACTTTTAAATAAAATGGAAATAAGTGATGTGCCTTACTGCAATGACATTTTACAAAAAGTGTTTTCTTGTTTAGAAAGAGATTGATTCTAAATAGGTACTGTGACAGAACAGTTACAATATGATTTTTATTAATAATTTTATGTAATCGTTAGGTTTTCATTTTCTTTCTTTTGGAATTAGTACAGTAGAGCATCGTTTATCCGAATCAATTGGGGACTGGGGTGGTTCGGATAACTTATTTTTCGGATAACGAATCATATACGAAAAAATATATTAATTTATTCCATGTTGAAATTTTTCTCCGTTGCGTGTCGCTTCGCGTTGAATTTTCGTTGATGTTAAGCCTAATGAAGACTATTGCATCATTAAAAATTATTTTTTTATTTTGTACAAACAAAATAAATATATTGAAAAATATAAAAATAATAAAAAATTATACTTCAGATGTTAATTTAGTATCAAAAACGTAAAATATTTGAGTAACCCAAGAAATAGCCGAAGATTGCAGCGCCACAGCACTAGCGAAAATTTAAATTTGCCAACTTAATTGCTTTCGGATAACAGACATTTCGGATAACCAGCTTTCGGATAGACGACGCTCTACTGTATATTTTTTTAAACACTGTTTTTTTATTATCTTCAGTCATATGAACAAGGTTCGTGTGATTTTCATTTTCGTCTTATTTGTGTCTTATTTTGTATATTCTCTTTTGTTTTTATATATTAAAAGTTCTTTGACCATCTATTTGTTGTTTTTATTACATTATCCATTTAAATGCTGCAATTTTGTTTCAAAATGGTTTATTTCCATGATTTGAAGTATGAAAACTACCATTTCCAAATATTTGAATTTCAAGGTAAATATTACCAACAATTGGAAGGTATTCCAATGGGATCTTGCATATGTCCTAGATTGGCAGAGTTCTGTATGATCATAATTGATAAAGAAATCAATAAAACCAGAGGTATAATAAGTTACCAAAGATATGTAGATAACTGTTTCATCGTCTACGATAAAAGTATACTAGATATTGACTCTTTCGTTAATGAAATTAATTAGATAAATAAAAATGTTCAATTCCAATGTGAAAAAGAAGTAGATAATAGTCTGAATTATTTAGAACTTACTATAGTTAGATTAAATAGTAAATTATTATTTAAAAAGTATGTTAAAGATTGTGCTACTGATAAAGTTATACACTTCAAATCTAATATACCTTTATATATAAAAAAGAACACTTTTCAGATGTATATCAACAAAATTAAAGAGAGAATGACCTTGTAAAATGATCAAGAAATGGAAATAGAAAATATAATAAAAATGTTTAGCTTAAATAATTACCCTAGAACATTATTGTTAAAGTGGTTAGAAACAAGTAAAAGAAAAAGAGAAAATGTCACATTAAATAGACAACCGGGAGTTGTTAGGACTTTGTATCTTAAAATGGAATATGTTTTTGGTTTTTTGAAAAATTAAAAAAATGAATTAAAAAATTTAGATATTATTTTAGTACCAACCCATACAAGAACCATAGCAAAAATAATGAACATAATGATTTAGAAAAAGATAGTGTAGTTTATTCATTAGATTGCAGTTCACATAAAAAAGATACATTGGTGAAACCGGAAGAATATTAAAGACAAGAATTAAAGAACATATATATGCCATCAAAAATAATTTGATATCATCATCAGTGGCACAACATTGCACTACCAAAGGTTATGAAATTTTAAAAGATAGGGTCAAGAGTATTCTGATAGAAAACAATCAATTAAAAAGAAGACTACAGGAACACACAGAAATTCTGAAAATACAGGAAGACATTAGAATTAATAACAACATGGGACTGAAGCTACATGAGGAGTGGAATGACATCGTTTTTACATAACCTTGAAACAGATGCTGAACAGATGTAGGAGTAAAGTCACATCACATTGTAAAATGAATTGTAACAAGGCAGTTGGCTCCACACAGTCTTATGGATTTGGTGTATTTGTTTTGTTTAAGGTCTGGAAATCAATTATTTTAGTAATAGTAAGTTCATTGTTAGTTTAGCTCCCTTTTGGTTTTTAATATACTTAACAATATTTTATTATTAATAGTGGAACCGTATACCAGAATTCGGAAAATGTGGGAGAAAATAAGACATTTACTGGTCCCAAATAGTGTGATATATCCCATTATTATATAAATAAATTTTATGTTCGATAGTTTTAGTTCTTTAGTATATGGGTTGTATTAAAAATTGTAAATACAGTGCACTGTATATATCAAAAATTCCTTTGTATTGGTTAACTGTTAGTGTTATAATTATATGTTGGTACTACATGTTTGTAAGCTGATGAGGGGTTTGTAAGCTGATGTACCTGAAATGCATCCTTACCTAAATTTGAAGGTGATTACTAAAGACTAACGTTTTGTAAAAGATTGGTCTTTTTTTTCTGTTGGCCTTGGTGTGATAAGCCCTCCAAATTGTTAAATCCTATTTATTAGACTATCTAACTGTCTAAATTAAAGTCCTGGGCTAAAAGCATCATTTATTATTATTAATTAAGAAAGGATCACTGATACAAAAAGTACTTTATCCATCCACACATTGAAGGGAATTAAACTTTTAACTACCTTCATCAAAACAAAAATAATGTATATCAATGATACATTTGCAACAATTGAACAATTTAGAAACACTGTTTCAAATAATCCAATTTATTTAATATTTGATGAGAACACATTTATTCTGTAGTACTGCTTTAAAATAGTCTTGTACTGAGTCAACAAACTTGTGCAAAAGGTCTTGTGGTATGGATTGTCATAATTTCCAAATTGCAGTCTTCAGTCATGTACAGTTGTTTATCATTGATCTTGCCCATAAATTTTATGAATCGATCATCTCCAAAGATTCTCAATGGAGTTGAAGCAGACCAGAGCAAAACAGCAACATTACTGATACAACAAGTTATCAAATCCACAAAGGACTGGCTTGAAACCAGTCCTTTGTGGATTTGATAAGTGTATTGAGACATGTCTTGTTGGAAATACAATCACCTCCAGCAACAATATATACAGCTGCCAGCAAATGTTCTCCAAGTATGTCCTTACAGTGAATAGATGTTTTTTACCCATGAATAAAGACAAGCCCAACAATTTCTGTATGGCAAAAGATGCCCAAACTGTGACACTTCCAGCAATCTTGCCTTATGGAAAATGGAACAGTTGAATAGCTTTTTTCTCTCAGCACACACATGCCAGTAATTTCTGAGGCCATCTTGACCATAAAGATTCCATTTCTTTTCATCGGAGAAGACAACTTGACTCCAATCAACAGTGGTCCAACATATATGTAATATGTTTCCTGAAGGTGAAATAGTTTGTGTGCACAAGCTTTTGATATATTACATTTGCTATTTAGTATGAAGATGTAAATAATCCATTTACATCAAGTTGCAAACGTTTAGCACAATGTGCTATACAGTCTCATGCATGATGTGGCCTTTCCTACAAATGTTATCTTTTAAAATATGCTTCCTATAATTTCTGCATTTATGACCTGGTCTTGTATAGTAGTCATAAGTCTTCTCTCTTTACGAAGAGTCATCCCAAGCCAACCAGTCAACAGTTTGACAGTTTTATCAACATGATCCTGACTGAGATCATTCAGGTACCTATCACAGGGCACTTTCTAAGCCTGTACAATGATGTCTGTGCTTTTTTGTATACTGTTGTATTAGATCCAGATAGTTGTATTTTGTTAATATTTGTTCATGTTTTCCTGTGTATTTGTTTGTTTTTTTATGTTTGTGTATGTGTTTGTGTGTGATGTAAGACTCCAAATGAATATGTCAGTAATGAGACAACATTATTATTACAATACAATCTCAATAATTCAACCTATGTAAGACCAGAACCGTGTCAGATTACGGAGATTACCAGATTAGTTTATTAAAATAAAATTTCCAATAATGATTTAAACAGAAAAAGAATATAAATGATTAAATATAAATTCAATTGAGCACAAACAAATTTGACAGCATGGAGTCCACTTTTAATGATGGAGCAAAACACAAGTTGGATTACTGGTCAAAGCATTCAAATGCACTGCCATTGCCAGAAATCTGTGTTGCTAAACTGATAAATTACAATTAAATTTAGTGTAAAATTGAAGTGACAAGGGAAAATTTAGTGGAAGGTACAATATTTTTGACAGGAAATTTTGGGATTTTTATATTTATATAGTATTATGTCATAAGATACTATATATTTCTTGAATAGCTAATATGACAAGTATAACAATCTTTAATGTCATGCTGAAGCTTGAATGTTTAAGCTTGGGTCCAATATTATTCCATGTTTAGTAGAAAAATATTCAAATTTAGTGGGAACTGTATTTGAATTAGTGGGAATCTTGTCCATGACTTGGCAACAGCGCTAATGATGACTAGTGTTGGATCACGGAACATGTCAAACTAATGTACGGCTGGATTACTGAGACTGTGCTGAATTATTAGAGTTATGAAAAGTTTAATAAGAATTTTTATAATTTCATTAACAAAGCTATTTATTAAAAGAAACACACAAGAAGTTCACACATACAAATGCATTAAACATTTTCTAAAAAGCTTTCTGCCAATAAGTAGAATTAAAATTGGCATATAAGTCAATTTCCAACTAGACTAGAACTGTGTATACAGTATATGATAACCTATTCAAGCTTAAAATTCAGAAATTTCATTTATCAATGCTTTAACATCTAAAAAACTTTCTAGAGGATCTACAAAGATCCTCTAGAAAGTTTTTTGAATTCCTTACATATTAGAAACATTAGTAAATCAAAGTTTTCTGAATTTTGCATTCCTTATTTATTGTTCAATCATAATATATATATATATATAAATAAACGTGTGTGTCCCTATATTTCACTTTTCCGCAAAGACTACACATCCTACATGAATGGTGTTTGTATGTGGTAGTAACCCCAAGTCTCCATTCGTGCACTATGGTGGTTGTGTCTCGATAGCTATAAGGGTGCGGGAGATATGGGTTTGAAAGTGGTTGAGTACAGAACAAAAGATAATGTAGAACTGAAGCTAGAAGGAAAAAAATGATATATGGATAAANTTTGACTGGACGTGAACAGGAGACGTTCAGAAATAGAATCGGGACCAGGTCTCTAATTAGTCTGGAAACGGGGGACCTAATTCTTGCATTCTGTGAAAACGGGTAAGATTGGCTATAATGTAATTATCTTAATCTTCACTATCGTTACTTTTTAAAAACCCAGCGAAGCGGGTCCTTGCAGCTAGATTCTAGATTACTTAGAAAAACAGTCTTTTTTATATATATAAAAAACTATATTACATACAAATGTACGAACAAATAAAAACCCAGCAAAGCAGGTCCTTGCAGCTAGTCTGAAAATAAAGAAAAAGATTTTTGGAAAATGTTTAATGCATTCATATATGTAAACTTTTGACTTCTTTAATTGTGTTTTGGTCTAATGGAATTTTAGCAAGAAGTTGACAAAAATCAGCTATGATTATGTAATTACCAGTTAAAAATTACATTTAACAACATTAATAAATAATAATAATATTTACTAAGATTTTAATTGTAATTAATAGTTTTAATTAGCAATATTAAATAATTGCAAACGTAAGTTATAGTAAATTATTTAATAATCAATTTACATAAAATTACTTATTTATTAAATAATTTCTATATTATGAATTTTATGTGAATAGTTTCCAAATGATAAAGTCTTCAGTAACTAGGCTAAGTTATCTGTAATCCATTTTTCTGCTGCTACAATACAGTCGACCTCCCCTATAACACTGTTGATTATTCCGTTTTATATGAATTCCATGTTGTACAAGTCACTTAGATTTTACAAATACGTGCACCGGGCTATGAATGGCTCATGTATTTGTAAAATCTAAGTGACTCGTACAACATGGAATTCATATAAAACGGAATAATCAACAGTGTTATAGGGGGGGGTCGACTGTATTTTGCAAAATAAATTTATGAGATAAATTTACAAAAAAATTCATATTTGAAGAATAATCATTTGATAAGCTACAAACTTAATCAATATATATTACAAAATTATAAAAAATTTTAACAACAAACATACTTGTATTACAACAATGGAAAACAACAAGCCGCAAGCCGCTTCTACACGAATACGAAACATCACCATGACGGATCCACCAAGCTGGCCGAAAAGATTATATATTACAAAAAGCGTAGAGAGAAACCACCCGACATGCCAAGTAAGGTTCATATAGTCTCGCTGATCTCCCCACTGAAACCACATTCGTATTCCATCTTCAATAAATGTGCTTACTAAACATAATCTGGCTATGTGAGGTAAAAAATGTTTACTGTATCGCAATATCTGAAAATATAAAAAAATAAATCTCAGTAATTGATATAATTTCTTAACATACAGCTTAATACACATTTTAATAAATAATAACTATAATGTTTTCATAATTTAATTAACAATCTGATATACTTTCTTCTTTCTTACAAGAAAATTTTTCTTTCCTTCTGTTTTCCTCTGTTTCCTGTTTGATTCTTTTTCCTCTAAACAACTTAACTTCCTTTCAGAAGTGGAGCCCAGATGTAATCTGATTACCTACCCTATTTGTTGAATTTCTACCAAAATTCACCTTGTGTCATCAAACATAACCACAAAAATATGCTCATTTACAATGCGTGAAAAATACCTGACAGATGTTTAATGTCTTAAAATAACCCAACTTTTACTTGATTTTAACAGATAGATAAAAGTTAGGTGTTTTAAAAACTGACCTCTTAAGACACCCTGCATTTATTTTATTTTGTGGCACTCTTAATAAAACTTGTCTGTTAGATTCATTTCTCTATATACATTTATACATATTTCATAACAGTTTCTATTTTGTGTAATAGTTATAATAATAACATAATTATAATGGTTAATCCTTCTGTAATGAAAAAATTTATAAATTAGAAAAAAATTAAGTGTAACTTAAAATTACATTTTAAACAACCCATGAAGTACTGCTGTAGTACTTTGGTTAAAAACCCCTAAAACCTTTTTAGAATAATAATTGTTATATTTATTGGCCAGATCTAATACAGCGATAAGTAGACTCTGTAAGGTAACGACTTTCTTTAACATTATTTTTAAAAAATATGACAAATGATGAAGCAAATTCATAAAATTTTAAAGCATTTTATGAAATATTTAAAAAGATTAAGTAATAAAATTCACTCCTTAAATTAACTTAAAAGTGATTCAGATGTTTTCAAAATAACTTTTTTATACAGTTTGTATTGTAAACATTATGGTTAAAGTGACTAATATAACTTTAAAAATTATTACAATAGTAAACAAGCATATTTTTCGAAGTCCAATATATTCGCAAAACACGGTTTCAAAAACAACATAGAAAAATTTCAATTACAGAAATGGCAACATCCATCCAAAGAATAATGTGTCCAGCCCATCGGATTAATACCATCGAGAAAATACAAGTTGACTGATGATGGGGTTTATGCCCGAAACGTGCTGTTGTCACGTATCAACTAAAAATGATGGAAATAAAGCCAAGTGTTTATTTATAACTCAAATGTGAGTTCGAAGTCCAAGCATATTTTTGTTAATAAATGCATTTGTCATAAATACATAATTTATTCAAAAATGTAATTAAATGAATTATTTTTATGTAAATCTACTAAATAATTGGCATCAATGTACAGTTTCTCTTCTATTGCAACACATTTCTAACGTGTAAATTTGTTCATATGTGATGATAAATAGAATTAAATCATCAAAATATTGATACAAAGTCATGTTAGCTCATAACCATCGTTGTTATCCTCCATCATGTTAACAAATGAAGCTCATAAGCAATTTCTCTATGCTTATGAGGTAACATTAGCAAATAATATCACATGATCAGAAAAACACAAGTAAGCCAAATAAAGCAATCTCAGAACAAATACACAATATCCACATACTACATCCTTTTTCTCACTCCAATTTACTAACACCCATTGTCCTATAAGTCAATGATATGTGTCTGATATACACTTTGGGAGTGTATATCAGACACACTCCCAAAATTTGTACACTTTTCTTGACAAAAGTATTTATAAAGTACTGTACAGAAAAGCTTTAAGTATTGAGGAGAAGCTTGAAATAATAAAAATGTTTTGTACGACTGCCCCTACTTCCCTAAGTTCAATTTCCCCATACATTCTGTTACCTTTATTATACAAAATTCCATAAAATGATAATTTTTAGAAACAATATATACTGCATTATATGAAAACAACTGTGTTATTAAAATAAACCAACATCTACAAATCCAGTTTGTAGATGTTGGTTTATTTTAATAACACAGTTCTTACTCCAACAACTAGCAGATTATATTAAGCTAATACATCACAATTATTTTAAATTAATTACTAAATAAATATGCAACCGCTGCTTACCATGCACATCTGCACGGTAAGAGGCAGTTGTGATTCGAGTCCCACTCCGAACCGATTCTTTTCTTTCAGAATTTTGTAAATTATTTAATTTAGAAAATTCTGACTGTTTACTTTTTTTTTTATTGAGGTTTGTTATTTGGGGAAGTGGAAATCAATCACCTTCAGACTTTTCCATTTGTAAATAAATTAAATTTATTATTTAAAATTTTTATTTTTTGTTTATTAGTAGAATCTGACTTTTTCAAGTGAGGACATTGGAGCTATAAAGTGACTATTGTTGCCATCGTTTAATCCTGATTCACACATTTTCTAAGCATGAAATTTAGAAACATTTTTCTTCTGCATCGAGTTTTCTGTCAGAATGTTTGAATTGTCACCTTCATTAGAAACCAAAGGTTAGTTGGCTTAACTGACAGATCATTGGATGGTTTCCTAAAGTTTCAAATCTATCAGTTAACAACTGACTTTTCCATTTTCATATTTGACAAAATTTGTTTCAATTGAAACAATGTCACCTTCACAACCTTATTTTTGATAAATTCTTCAGATGTCATATGTTAAAAGCTTAAAATATTGTAATAATAATAAATGATTGCTTCAAGTGTAAAAGAAAAAAAACATTAATGTTATGCTGTTAAATAGCCTATCAATTCACATTCAAAAGAAAATTCAATCTAAACTGTAATTACATAAGAAATTATGTTAAGAACTGAATGTATTTAAGCAGAGAATATAAAAAGAACACTATGAAATGAAAAAACAGTTTTAATTTCAAATATATTTTGATTGTTAGCATAATAAACTATAAACAAATCGCCTTCATGATGACTAATATATCATAAAAAACTCCAAGACAAGATATAAACCTCATTGATATAGAAAAGGCACTTAATTTACTACTAGTTTATTTTTAAATTAGCTCAAATAAAAGGTTATTTACTTGCTTAATAAAACTCTAGTGTGGAACAAGTATGAAACAAAGTATAGAGAACAATTGTCTTGTGTCTTTCAAAACTTAAAATAATTTTAATTTGATAGCCTTGACTCATCTGCATTATTTCAGTTTTAAAATTAACATTTATTTAATTCTAACAAGACCAAATATGCTACATGAAAATATCATTTTCTAATTATGGATATTATTAATGAATAAAAATAAAGCTAAAGGATTTAGTAGTGTTAATATTTAAATGAGAATTTTAGAATATTCTTTATAAAAACAACTAACACTGTTCATAAACCAAAAAATCATAAAATAGAGTAGATTCCACTTATTGTAATCATCGACATTGTTACAAATTATTTAATGCTTTCAAAATTAAAATTCAAAACAAATTAAAATATACTTATAAAACTTCATTTATTATAATTACTGTAGTTCAGTACATTCAGGACTGTTTTTCAGCAGAACATGCCAGTATGCTATACCAACAGATGGCAAGAAAAAGCATCACAGCCAGTACATAGAACCAGCATTTGCTCAGTAAAATAATACTATTTGTTCAGTTTCAATATATATTTGTAACAGCAGTAATTTTTCAGAAAAAAACACTGGTTATAGTTATAATTTTCTTCAGATAAATAGGTATTGTTGTAAGGAACCAAGTCCGAGAATTATTTTTATTTACTTTTATTTTGCTTTTTATTATATTTTTGTTTGGGGCTTATATTTTGTTAGGATGAAGGTTTCCTCACCATTCACCTTAGAAACTTAAAAAAGAAGAGAAACCAACTCACTGATGAGAGAAAAGCGCCATAGGATAAACTCACGCACACTTGCGCTCCCGAGCGGAAAAAAGGTAAGTTCGCACCAAGAAAACAGGGGGGAAGACCCCACAAGCATAACTTATGATCTTGCTAAACCTTAAAGAATAAAAACATCCCGAAAATTGTCAAAAAAGAATAATATAAAAGGTTAGCGAGTATTGTCGGAAAATAGGCTGCCAGACAAATAGAAAAAGTTTATTGTTAGCAAATAAGTATGTAAAGGAGGGGAGTGATCGCACTCAGAATTGTGACGTCACCTCACAGTATAAAGTCCAAACCTCAAGTGAAAACAAGAGAGGTGAGCTTCTGTTAGCAACGAGTGTGGTGAGCTTCGTAGCAGCAAATGAGAGAGAGATGTCCGATAGGAAAAAATAGTTCCAAGGCGATTTTGAAGTTATTCGATTTGTGGATCTAAGATTAGAAAAAGTCTTGAGAGTTGAGGAAAAAGGTTCCTAGTATATTGAGATGATGATTAGGATTTTTAATTCATAAGAATTATTGTACATAAATTAAGTCTTTGAAATTTTGTCGAATTCCAAAGGGGAATAGAATTAAGTTAGAAATTAGATTGATTTGAGTTTTGTCGGGTTGATTCTTATTGAGTTTCATTGAATAAATTGTTACTTGATTTTTACTAAATTTTGTATATAGTTTATTATTAGAATGTTTATTAAATATTTGATTTGTTATTGACAAACTTTGTCATTATTTAATTCGGTGCACACTTAAAGTCCAGGCCTGACACACTAACGCGAATCCGCATAAAGTACCTGTTAGGTAATGGCTATTTCTGGCACACATTCATGTCGATAATTATTGTAGAAAGTTGGGAAAAAAATAATATAGTACTTTACATTGTTAGCTTCTTTTCAAATTTTCAATCTCAACAAGCACGATAACATGCAATCACTATTAGTCTTAACCAGTGTTTTGGCCCACTCAAACAATGAATTCTAAATCCTATAGTACATTGATAATTCAAGGACTTATCAATTTACTATAGGATTTATAAACACAATGTTTAAAGGACAGGAAGGTTCAAATAAATCAGATGATGTAGTGTCTGTGGAACAATGGTCACACAGCTACCACACAGCAGCTACATCAATTGCTATCCTCACCCATGACTGCCACCACATTTTG